AAAGGTACCTGAGCATGTATTCTATGCTAAGTTCTAAGCCTGCCATTGGCAGAAACATAATTTTGACCTACTTGTGATTCACTGTTGTTCCTTGCCATTTCTTCCTGTATTTCTTCCAGAGCCATCCAAACTTACAAATGCGTACAGGTACTATATATATCAAGGAGGTTTTTATTTTCTTACAAGATTTTAAGTTTGGAGCTTACATATCTCTACATCAGAAATAGAATGACCAGGAAACTCTTTCAGAGCCAACTCTCAGCTACTGTTTTTCCAAAGAATTGTCAACAAATGTAAAGTTTCACATATTCCTGTCTAGGAATGTGGGAGGGACACTGAAGCTAGGGAAAAGGTGGAGGGAGAGTTACCATTAGTAGGAACAAATAACCTTGTTAGAGAAATGAAAAAGAAACATGAAAAGTCAAAGACTAGGTTAAAATGTTTAAAAATTGTTATATAAGAGATTTGTAAAGAAATTATTTAGACAGTTACTGTTGTTTTTCAGAGCAAACAGACTACTTTTAGCTGGAGTTGGGGGCCCAGGGTGAGTGGAGTGGAGTGGTATCCTCTAAGAATGGATGGTTTTCCATTTTGGAAGTTATTCTAAAGTGAAGATAACAGAAAAGTAAAAGTTTTCTTTTGGGTATTATAAGAGGAAACCATCACCATGTAGTACACTATTTTAATTAAAAAGCAGAAGCAATCCTATCTCTCTACCAAAGTTTACAGGTCACTCTGTTAAAGGTATTTCCTATTTGCAAAATCAAAACTCCAGGAAACTCACAACCTTACTCCCTTTTTTTCTACCTTAAAACACATGAAAAAATGTACAAATGATAAAAGTTCATGGAGGGGTTATATCAGGTTTTGTGTTCAAGGAATAACTCAAAACTGTTCTTGTGCTAAAATTTCCAATTATGGTTTATAAACAGGTATTCATTTACAATGAGAAAAGTATTATTTAGTCATTCATTCAGCAGTTTTTTTATTGAACATCTCTTATGTCCCGGGTCATCCGCTAGGTGCTAGAGAGAAAATGGCAAACAATCAGGTACAGTCGCAACTGTTATGGAACTTGGTAGTCTATTGGTAGAATGAAATAATAAAGTTATTCACTCAGAAAAATAAATGTGGTTAGTGCTATGTATAAAGAATATAGGATTTTCACTTAGTCTGGTGGATTAAAGGCTCTTCCCAGAGGAAGAGACATTTATAGATTAGATTAGAATTTATGGAGCAAAAATTGGGGGAAAAACAATTTAGGAAGAGGGACACATGGAGGGAGCTTTTGCAGTAGGAAAGAGCTTGTGATTTCAGAGGACTAAAAGGCCACAGAGGCTGAGCCCAGTGAGTGGGAGAGTAACTCACATTGGTTGAAGGTTAAGGTTATACAGGACTTTTTAAATGATTACTTTGCCAGGCTCTGGGAGGGAGTTTAGTTAGGAGTCTGGTGCAGTGAGCTGGGGAAGAGATAATGGTAACATGGATTAGGATTTGGCAAAGAGATAATGAGAAATGAATAGATTTGCAAGTTATTTGGAATGGAGAATCAGAAATTACAATTGGTTAGATACAGGCCTTATATCTGCAGTGTAGTTTGTCTGGTCCTTTCAAAATAAACTCATAAAACACCATGGCTGTAACCTATAGTCCTATATTGATGTAGCTTTGCTTGGCCTAATTCTTCCTTGTGGCGTACCTATATAATCTGTTGATTTAATAGATGTCCGTGACCACCCTTCTGCTCTTTGGTAATAAGGTTGTCTATCCAGATGTGTAATGTGTCTGGTGGCTGTCGCCCTCCTTTCTCCTAAAAGTGAAATTTGAGTCAGGTCTCCTTTGCACATAGTTCTTTTGTCTGTTCCTAAAACAGAGCAATAAAAGCATACTGGCTTTATAGAATAAGTTTCATAAAGTTTCCATTTCAATTGCAGGCATAATACCTTTGAAAAATTTTTAATAAAGTTTATTTTATTGTTGAAATATTTATATGTAGAATATGAGTCTTTTAGAACATCTTAAAGACAGTTTTTTCTTGTCTTATTTGAATGTTTTATATACATACATATATATATTTAATAACACTTTAAAAAATTTTTAGGCTTTCTGTTTATTCTTACATGTTTCAACAGCTGACTGATTATTGGGTGTTCTTAGAGTTTCTTGAGGGCACTTTGTCTTCTTATGTAATTGGTTTCCTATAATTTTTTCTTAAACTCCTTACCATAGCACAACTTAAAAAGAAAGCCTTTTAGATGAAAGGCAAGGACTTCATCATTTTAATGACTATCATTGCAGGTAGTGCAAAGATGAAAGTTTTCGAGTTGTACCTTGTGTGTGATCTCAGAAATTTATTACATAGGATTATGCTTTAAAATATTCACTACTTGTAGTTAACATTCAATCAGAGTGAACACTTCTTTTTCATATGGATATTTTTTTTTAAAAAATCAAAGCAATAGTTCATGTGTTTGAAAATCTTAATAGTTGTTCTATTGAATATATTACTATTTTTTGCCCTACATTTTATTTTATAATTATCTTCCTGAAATTTTCTTAAGTGCATGGTAATAAAGCCTAATTATAGTTTAAGGCAAACAAAAATGAGAGGACTCAAAACAGAAAGGTTATTTGCATTTTGAGTATTATCTTCTGCAGTTTGTATTATGACCATGATTATCAAATAAAACAGTAATACCTGCAGCCAGGCCTGAGCCATGAATGTGTCCTTGGAAACTAGGGTCCCAGTGCTTACCTTGTCTTTAAAAAAAAAGTTGATATGTGTAGGGTCTCTCTTAGTCTTCAGTAAATCCTGTGGTCTTTGATACCCATGATGTACTGCTGGGAGTTGGTAGCAACTTAGCATGTTTCAGAGCAACTGTGTGTCTGAATGGTAGCACTTGAGGAGAGAATGATTTTTTTTTAAATTATACTTTTGGTAAAGAGTTGCCTCATATAACACATTAAAAACGTTTAGAAATAGTTTTTATGTCATTTCTTTTTTCAGGACTAATTATATTAAAACATTTTTTGTTGACAGTTTTCAAATCCATAGGAAAGTTGGAGGATAAACTCTGTCTTTCAACTGTAATCCTATGACTGTAACAGCCTGTATCTCAAGAATAAGGACAGCCTTTTACATACTCAATCTCCATTCTATTTCCTAAAAGCATCAACAGTAGTTTAGTAACATTACTGACATATGGTCTATAATTCAGGTTTCCCCAGTTGTCCCCAATATGTCCTCTAAATGCTGCTTTTTCATTCAGGCTCCAGTCAGAGTTCACACATTGTTTTTGGTTATTGTGTTTCTTTTGTCTCCCACAGTCTAGGATAGTCCTGTTGCCTCTGTTGTCCTTCATGACATGGAAGTCTTTGTAGGGGCCAGGCCAACAGTCTGCAGGATCACCCACATTCTGGATTCCTGTGTTTCTTAATCATTAGATCCAAGCCAGCATTTCCAGGAAGAACATGGTGGTATTTTGTAATACCCCATGGCATCACGTCTGAGGGCACATAATGTCAGGCTGTCCTGTAATGACTGCTGGGGAGAGTGGGGACTGCCAGGTCTTTTGGGGCCCACTTCCCCCCTTTTCCGTGTGATACCTTGAGAACATTTAAATGTCTTGTTTCTTCAAAAGATTTCACCAGTGGTTTTAACATCCATTAGGATGATAAGTGACAATTTTGGAGGGTCACAATAATAATTGTTCTTATTTTGTTAGATAGATGTTATTCTTCTATCAAGAAGAGCTTTCCTCTTTCCCCCTTTCTTTCCTTTTTCATTAGGTATTACCATAGATAAATGGATTTTTAAAATTCAGTGTGTTACGGTTGATTGCTGTCCTTCCTTTGATGCTGTTTTATTGAAGCGTCACATGCATACAGGAAAGTGCACAGATCATCAAGCGTGCAGAGCGATTACACGTCACACAGTGATCGCTCCTGTGTGTATAATCAGTGTCAGTTCGCAAGTGAAAAGTGCACAGAGTGTCTTTTGTATCTGGTTTATACCACTCAGCCTGGTTTTTTGTCAGATTTATCCATGTTTTGTGTTGTGTCACACAAATTGCTGTGTGGTATTCCAGTGTATGAATCTACCACAGCTTATATATTCATTCTACTTTTGATGGATATTTGGTTTGTTTCAAGTTTTTGACTATTTTAAGTAAAACTGCAATGAATGCTCCTGTGTCTATCTTTTGGGATCAGCAGTTGGTCATAGGATTGCTTGTAGGAAAAGATTTTGACAGTATTAACTTGTGATTTCTTTACTCAGACAATTCCAGGGGGACTGTTTTCAGATGCTAGAATACTCTCTGAGCCTCTCGTAAAATACTAAGAGCATAATTTTGGATTTTACTGATATAAATGTTAATATATTACATATTAATATATTATGTTATAGTATATCATATTATATTACTATAACATTATAGTATATTACATATTATATAAATGTTATATTATTCATACAATACTAGATCTGTGTGCCACTTATTATCAAGGCAATCCCTGCTTACATAATCCAAAAAGAGAATACTGTTTATTTTGGCTACTTGAAAAATACAAATTTTCATGTTTCATTGGATATAGAAATGTTTATCAACTCATATGTAAATGTAAATGCAGTATAACCACATATAAAATTATCTTTAGGACTGTGGAATTTTATTTAAGCAGATAGAAACTTTGTCATATTTGTGACCTCAGGAAATCTTATAAATTTTGTACCTCATATAACTAAGTGAAGAGCAATTGTTTATTTAAACACACACATGCATGAATAGTTGGAACTCATTTATTGTAAATTGTGGTACTTGTAGTCAGTAATGTTTACACAGGTATGTACAGCTGGACAGTGATGTTTAAAACCATGTAAAAGCTTTTCTGTGAAGGAAAGACGCAGGGAAGGCAAAGGTACTGAAGCAATAAAGAAACTTCTGTTTATACTTTTTTTATACTCACTGATTTTCACATGTATATATTTTTTTTTCCAGTAGTGGCCACGGAGGAAGTAGTTACTGCGGAATCTGTGGATGGTGCAATTCAGCAAGTGGTTAGTTCAGGAGGTCAGCAAGTCATCACAATAGTCACAGATGGAATTCAGCTTGGGAATTTGCACTCCATTCCAACCAGTGGGATAGGTCAGCCCATCATTGTGACCATGCCAGACGGACAACAAGGTTGGTCGTAGGCACTTACATGAAATTTGTGTTTATTCTCAATTTGTAGGATATCGTGATTTGTTTTTCAGAGTATTTATTTTTGCCTTAAATTATATTTTTGTAGCCCTTTGCAACAAACATAATTAAAATTAGCTTGTTTTTTCCTGACTATATACCAGGTGGAGAAAAAAATTGGCCCCAAAACGTTCTGGTTGGAAAATGAGCTTAAATAAATAATGCTTAGTCAGCATTGGACAATAATTTCCTAGGCCATTTAATACAATTCAGATATCATGTGAGGTTTTTAAAATGCCATGTAAGAAAAGGCTACTTTTAAAAAGTTGGACTTAAGACTTATAGTAGGAATGTGGTGGCAACATTTAGCAGCTTTGTTGATAATTTCCCCATGTTTTCCCTTCTTGGAAACCACAGAGAGCAATGCAGTGGATGAAACAAGCCCCAGCTACATTTTCAGCAAATCTAAAAAGCTGAGAAAACCACAAAATTTCATATTTTAAGTACTGCCAAAGAAACTAAGACCATTACGGCCAGGGCAAGAGAACTGTCACAAAAACCCACAACAGTACAACAAGAAAAGGGTTGAGCTCAGAAATCAGCAATAAATATGCATTTCCAGCAAGACAGGGCCCAGACTGAATAGGAAGTGTGGCAAACAGGGCTAAGATAGAATAGGGCATCAATAGTGGAGGAAGCAGAAAGAGAAAATGCAGAAAGTTCCTAGCTGAGCAAGCATCACCCTGCATCCAGTCCCCGAAAATAAAAGGTTATACACACACATAACCTTTTAGAAAATGACTAGGATGGCAGAGACTGTGCGTCTTCATGGCCAGTGAAGGAATTATGGAAAGGAAGGGCTGGAGGCAGAAGTGCTCCTAAAGCACATTTGGTTTAGTGGTAGAAGAGGTACTGCGCTATGGGAAAGGCTTTGTCACTGGAGCAGGATAGGCGGAAACCCTTGCCCTGTGAAGCCTGAGAGGCCTTTCTCCTGTTGTACAGAAGTCATCTGCTAGTAGCTGGTCTAAAATTTGGATCAGGCCCAAATTTTTCTTTTTAAAGCTTTGAAGAACTAATTAGAATTTGATGCAGACAGCAGCCCGCAATGTCTGCGGTGTCATGGATGAGACATGAGACATTCACACGGACTACCAAGTCCTGCGCTGAGGAAAAAAGATGGCACGGCCACCCTCTCAAGGGGAGGGCACCTCAGAGCGGTCTGGCCACACTCTCTAGGGGAGAGCGCCCTGATCCTTGCCTTTACAGGCCTTTTACTGCATTTCAATTTGCACAGGAATACTGGTAAAGTTCATTAAACATTGTCAGGCAGTAAGGATCAAACAATAGATAACATACAAAGAACTCTGAGGGCCTATTCTGAGTGAGAGTCTGTTAGCTAAAAGGCTACAAAACTTAAGGGCACAAACTCATTTCCTGCTCGGACCTTCATCATGTAATTGAGAGCATTTTTAGCAAAGCACATTTCACAGGTGTTTATGTATTCTTTCTTAGGCCTGATCACCTGGAGAAACCTGCCCTTTCTAGCACAGGGTTGTGCCGCCCTCTGTCATTGTTTCAGGCTTAAGTCAGACAGGAGAAGTAAGGCAGCCAGAGATAGGAGACTTCTCGCAGGCAGAATGAAGACTCAGGCTTTGTCAAACCCGAGGGGGCGAGGATCCATTACCCCCTTTTACTGTATCCCCCCAAGTACTTCCCTAGGGGCCTCCACGTGATCATGCCTGTCTTAGGTCGTTCCCCCCTTAGGGAATCTTACCCATTATTGGCTAACTGATCAAGCATTGGGGGACAGTTATGAAAAGAGCAGAAGTGGTGCTCCTGCCAGGGAGATAAACTTTGTCTCCTTAGTGGCTTCTGGTCCAAAGGTCGCTCACCCAGCCTTAGCCATGGGGGTGTTACAGCTCCTGAAACCAGGCAGGGTGGTTCCCAGCAAGAATTATACAGAAAAGAAGAAAACTTTCAAAGTATTTGTATCAGGCAGATACAACATTTCTCAAACCTGACATTTATACAGATGAACCTCACTGATGAACAAATGGAAAGAAACTCTGTTTTTGATGGGAAAACTCACTATCATAAAGCTCTCAGTTCTTCCTGAGTTAATTTATACGTGTAATGTGATATTTTAAAAAGACCGTATTAATTTGCTGGGATTGTCAGAACAAAGTACCACAGAGTAGGTGACTTGAGCAACAGAAATTTATCTTCTCACAATGCTGGTGGTTTGAAATTCAAGATCCAGATGTTGGCAGTTTTGGTTTCTTCTGAGACCTCTCTCTGGCTTGCAGATGGCTGCCTTCTTGCTGTGTCCTCACGTGGTTGTCCCTCATCTGTGTCCTGGTCATCTCTTCATATAAGAAGACCAGTCCTGTTGGATTAGGGCTTACCTAAATGACCCCATTACGCTATTCACCTCTTTAAAGTTCCATCTCCAAACACAGTCACATTCTGAAATATTTGGGGCAAGGACTTAAACATTTGAACTATGAGAAGACACAGTTCAGCCATTACAAAGACCAGTAGGTCTTTTTCTAGAAGTAGCCAAACAGATTCTAAGTTTATATGGATGGAGAGGAGGGAAGGTGAAGAGGAAAGGAAACTCTGGGAAAGAAGAGCAATAAGAGGAGTGTTCTGAATATTAAAATAAACTTTTAAAGACTCCATAATTTAAAAATGTGTGATTGACATATGAACATATACACTGCGTGGACAGTTCAGTGAAACAGGTACAAGGTTCTCAAATTCCCAAGTTAATTTATAAGTGTAACATTATGAGTTAAAAGAAATAAAACACTTTTATTCTCATTATTTCTAATGTTTTAAATTACATTACACTAAATAAATATTAGTTTTACTTTTTTCATTTATGTTCACATTTATAAATTACAATTTTTACTGTTTTGACAAAAAACATTAAAGGCTATGGAACAATTGTAATTTTCCCCATTGTTTATTAAGATTGTTTTTCATGGTTTCGGTTTGCACCATCATTTTTATGGTCCTATACTGCTATGTAAAGCACAGACAGTTTGTCTCTGTATAACTTACTTTTATATAAAGAGATACTGAAAATTGAGACAAAGTCCAACAACCCAGTAGAGAAACAAGCAAAATTTATAAACAGACAGCATTCATAATGGTGCATCCACACATTAAAAGCTAAATTAAAGAAAGCTATCCATATACTGATGAAAGATAACTTAGATACATGGAGTGAAAAAAACAATTGCAGAATGATGTACTATTTGAATGTGTGTTTTATATGTATGCTACCTTTTGTGTAAGAAAGAAAAGTGAGCATGTATGTTCATGTTTGTTTTTATATAGATTAACAAAAGAACTACACAAGAAACCAATAAAAGTGATCATCTGTGTTAGCAGGAGTGGAGTGAGACCTCTCAAAATATGCTTGTTAAATATTATTTTGATTTTGTGTCATATGAATGAATATATTAGATACAAATTTTAAAAATAAGTGGGTACTTAAACAATGACTAGTTTGTAGTAAAAAAGCAAGAAGGTGAAGACAAATATGGATATCCTCAAAAAACAAATCAATGTTTTGAAATTATTGTTTTGGAATATATTTTAGATGAGTTTCATCAACAATGTTGACTAGTTTTATTTCTACTAAACCTTTCAGAAAATGAAGTAATGTGTACATTTTTTCATTTTAGTACTAACAGTACCAGCAACGGACATTGCTGAAGAAACTGTTATAAGTGAAGAACCACCAGCTAAGAGACAATGTATCGAAATAATTGAAAACCGGGTGGAATCTGCAGAAATAGAAGTAAGGAGTCTTTTACCCGGTGTGTTTTGCTGCAGTCATCCAAAATAAATTCAATTTGCTTTTATATATATATTTTTTGTCTTTTATATTTATTACTGTCAGTGTTGTTTTGATACAGAAACTACATAGTATTATTTTGTTTAATTTTTGCCTTATACATATAGCAAGCCCTCAATAAATAAACATTGAATGAATGAATGAATGAGTGAAGAATTTGTTTGTCACAAAGTCTGCCATCCTGGTAACATTGAAATGTCTTTGGTTCTTGCACTCCATCCCTATTTTCCATTAAATTTATACACGTCATTCTCACAAGTCACTAAAGGAAGTATCACTATGTACTGACTAAAACTTTTTTTTTTCTTTCAAAAGAAAAATGCAAATGCCTATTTAGGCTGGAGGAACCTCTTAAGGAAAGTTGATATTTGTCAACTGGGTTATTTATTATAAAGCTATAGATAACCGCTTATTTACTTATTAAGTGCTGTAAGGAAATTAAACTTAGATTAGCTGCTGATAAGATTGAACTTTTTTCCCTCTCCCAAACTAAATTATAAATGTGAACCAGTGTGTAAGTCTAGCCAAACCATAGTTCCCTCACAGGTTTTTTTTTTTCCACATGACTGTAAATGAAATTATGTCCCACAAATTTGATATAAACTTATCAAATGAAAATAAAGTTATTTAAAAAGTTATTTTGGAGTTTTTATGAGAACTGAAAAAGTTACATACTCATTAACACAAATTCATAATATCTGGTATATGTGAATAGTAAATGGTGAAATTTAAGGTTCTTGTTATAGAAAAGGGCGCATTTATAGGATTTTTTAAAGTATATTTGATTATGCTATTACAGTTGTCCAATTTTTTTCTCTTCTTTATCTCCCTCCACCCTCCTCCCTTTAGCGTCCTTCTCTACCTTAGTTCATATCCATGAGTTGGGTTGTACATGTAAGTTCTTTGGCTTCTCCATTTCCTTTACTATTCTTAACCTCCCCATGTCTATTTTGTACCTACCCATTACACTGCTTATTTCCTGTACCTTTCCTCCGATTCTTTCTCCTCCCCCTCCCCACTGATAACCCTCCATGTGATCTCTATTTCTGTGATTCTGTTCCTGTCTTAGTTGTTTGCTTACTTTGATTTTGTTTTGTTTAGGAGTTTTGATAGTTGCGGGTTTGTCGTTTCACTGTTCCTAGTTTTGATCTTCTTCTTTTTCTTAGATAAGTCCCTTTAACATTTCATATAATAAGGGCTTGAACCCCTTTAACTTGACCTTATCTGGGAAGCACTTTATCTGTCCTTCCATTCTAAATGAGAGTTTTGCTGGATAGAGCAATCTTGGATGTAGGTCCTTGCCTTTTATGACTTTGAATACATCCAGCCCCTTCTTGCCTGCAGGGTTTCTTTTGAGAAATCAGCCAATGATTTTATGGGAACTCCTTTGTTAGGTAGCTGTCTCCTTTTCTCTTGCTGCTTTTAAGATTCTCTCCTATCTTTAATCTTGGGTAATGTAATTATGATGTGTCTTGGTGTGTTCCTCCTTGGATCCAACTTCTTCGGGACTTTCTGAACTTCCTGGACTTGCATATCTAGTTCTTTTGCTAGATTGGGGAAGTTTACTTTCATTATTTTTTAAATAAGTTTTCAATTTTTTGCTCTTCCTCTTCTCCTTGTGGTACCCCTATGATTCAGTTGTTGGAAAGTTTAAAGTTGTCCCAGAGGTTCCTAAGCCTGTCCTCGTTTTTTTGAATGCTTGTTTCTTCATTCTGTTCCAGTTGAATATTTATTTATTCTTTCTGTTCCAATCATTGATTTGAGTCCCAGTTTCCTTCTCATCACTGTTGGTTCCTTGTATATTTTCCTTTACTTCACTTTGTAGAGCTTTTACTTCTTTCTTTACTTTCCAACCATACTCAACCATTTCTGTGAGCATCCTGATCACCAGTGTTCTGAACTCTGCATCTTATAGGTTGGCTATTTCCTTGTTGCTTAGTTCTTTTTCTGGAGTCTTGATCTGTTCTTACATTTGGGCCATATCTCTGTCTCAGTGCGCCTGTTAATTATAAGGGGTGGAGCCTTAGGTATTCACCAGGGTGGGTCAAACGTCTTTGCTGTGTTGTGCTGCTGTGTGTGGGGGAATGTCAGAGAGGGAACAGTGCTGCTTGCTTGGCTCTTGCCCCACTTTCTGTCACTTCCCTCGATCCCCACAAGTGGATTGGGCCCTCTGGTGCTGATTCCTGGGTGAGTGGGCTTGTGTGTGTTCTAGGATTTGGTGGGCCTCTCCAACAGACTCTCCTGTGAGACTGGGAGTTTCCTCCACCATCACAATCCCCATGGGCTTTTATAGCTCGAGGTTCTGAGGCTTAAGTTTCCTGTGCTGGAACCCTGGGTTGCGCAGTCTGTCTCGTTCCCCAGTTGTTCCTCTCACGCAAATGTGGGACCTCCGGGTCAGCCAGCTGCTGCTTTGCCTGCCTGGCCTGCTAGCCGCTGCCTTGTCCTGCTTTCTCACTGCCCTGACTTTCCGTCTCCGCCCCTTGTACCCGTCTAGATGAATGTGTCTTCTTTAACTCCTTGGTTGTCGGACTTCCAGGCAGTTTGATATTCTGGCAGTTCTGGTTGTCTTTTATTTTTAAATTGGTTGTTGTCCTTCTTTTGGTTTTGTGAAGAAGCGAAGTGTATCTACCTACCCTCACTCTTAGCCAGACAAGATTATTTTTTTAAAGTCACTGAAAGGCAACATAATTCTGACTGAGGACAATTTGAAAATATCCTTGCCCAAATTCATTTAAATGTAAGACTCATATATCTTTGGTCACAATCACAAAGAATTTTTGAGTTGAAAAGATGGTCTGATTCATGGTATAACCACAATATTTGGTAAAATTATCACTTTAATTATGAAGGGTGGGTTTTTCAGAGTGATGTTTAATACATTGAAGTTCTTTCAAAAAAATTTTTTTGTATTGATTTGAGAGAGAGAAATGGACTTTTTGCTTCACCCAGTCACGCACCCCTTGGTTTACTCCTATGCGTGCCCTGACTGGGGATGGAGCTGCGACCTCGTCTAGGCTATCAGGACGGTGCTCTGGCTAACTGAGCCACCTGGCCAGGGCAATACATTGAAGATCTTACTCACAAACTGACTGTTTAATCCATTGAATAGTATTATATACTTATTTAGTAATTTTTAAAATATCTTTTTACTGATATGTCAGATCTTTATTTCTGGCATATAAGGTGAAAAATGTTTTGTACTTTGCTTTACCTGTTTAATGAAATATTTTTAAATTACTAGAATTTTTATTAAACCATAGACTTGCTAAATTTAATCCATTGTATTTTTAAAGCATTGAATGTGCATCTTGTACTTTTATTTACCTAATGTGAGAGTTCCTATTTTCCTTAAAGTTCCCCCTGATTCCTCTCTTACAGTGTTTCAGAAACCAGAGAAAATAATCACAAATAACAGTAGAGTGTGAGCTGAGGTGTATGAATTCACTAGAACCAAGGTGATGGAACTTAGGGGATAGAGTTTTAACTTGGTATAAAGAAGAGTGGTTTTGGTTTGGTTTTAGTAATTGGAGTTTTCTGGTGATGGAAATCCTAGTCTCCACCAGCAGAAATTTTAGGCCACAGTTGCACCATCTCTTAGAGAGCTATTACAGTGAGATCTGGAAGCATACAGTGAGTTAGATGGTAGAGATGGGCTGGGCCTATAGAATGAAGAGAACTCTGGTGTTTTCATCAAACCAGGTTATCATTTCCTTATAATACATGAAGTAGTTCTTTTGAATTTATTTTCTTGGGGGCAGATTTTTATACTTTTCTCTTAAGTGACAGTTTGGTCATTTACCTGAAAAGTCTCTTTAAGGCAATGGTTCTCAACTGGGACAATTTAGACCCTAGGGGACATTTGGCAGTGTCTGGGGACGTTTTGGGTTATTGCAACTAGGGGCATGCCACTGACATTTGGGTACAGGCCAGGGATGCTGCTAAACATCCTACAAGGATGCACAAGACTGGCCCGCACAATAAGGAATTACCTGCTCAAAAATATCAGGGTTGAGATGGAGAACCTTGCTTTGAAGGAAGTAAAAAAGAAATTGTATAGAGTGTAACATGTTTGGGTTTCCCTGTGTGTGTATCTGCAGCTGCCAGATTGACTGTCCATAAAAAAAGACTTAAGAATATACATTGACAACTTCCCAGCTAACATTGGAGAGGTTTATCAATCTCTTGAAAAATTAGTTTAAATTTTATAAATTTTATTGTAAATGTGGCTTTCATGTCTGCATTGTAGCAATATAAGGAGTGGGTTTTTTTCCCCCCAGAGGAGACATATAAATAAGACCAAATTGCAGTAATGTATATAGTTTTATCACCCCATGATATTACCATACTATATATATATAAAAGAACTGCATTTTTTATTTTATCTTTTTAGAGAGCAAGAGAAAAGGAGAGAAAGAGAGGGAGGAAGGGAGGGAGAGAGGGGGAGAGAGAGAAAGAGAAGCCCTGATTGGTTGTTCCACGTACTTATACATTCATTGGTTGGTTCTTGTATGTGCCCTGACCAGTGATCCAGGCATTGAGCCCACAGCTGTGGCGTATTGGATGATACTCTAGCCAACTGAGCTACCCAGACAGGGCTGTACAATATATTTTTGGACGAAGTGTGCTGTTCCTGGATTTATTCCATAAATACACAGTAGCCTATTGAATTGAAGTTAAAACTGTTCTTGGTACACGTGGGAGGAAGAAGATATAGTTGGTACATTAGGAGTAATAGTTTTTTTTCTATTACTTAATTGTGTGAATTCAGGAAATCCCTTTACCTTTTCTTTACCATGGAAGCTAAAGATAAATATGTTTATTAGCAAATTTTATTTATTTTTAATGAGCAATTTGTGTCTTTTAACCAGTGATAGATTGGGATCCTTAATGTTCTTCTAAAAATTAATTTCTATAAACTTTATATAGTGTTTCATTTGATACAATTTTTTTTCAATCTGCCTCCTTTTCTTAATGAATAACCTTTTGATCTATCAAAGTTCAAAAATTTTTTGTAGTCATCGCTTTTTGGTAATTCTTTTTCTCTAGGGCTGGAGTCAGCAAAATTTTTCTATAAAGGGCCAGATAGCTAATACTTTTGGCTTTTTGGGCTATCTAGTCTGTGTTTTGCTACTTAGTTCAGCCGTTGTGGCAGGTGAGCAACCGTAGACAATTTAGAAATGAGTAGGTATGGCTGTATTTTGATAAAACTTTATTTATAAAAACAGGATCTTATTTGGCCTAAGGCAGTTAGAAAGTTGATGTTTATATACAGCAAATGGATAGCTCATATACCCCGCTCAGTTTCTCTGTTAAAAAAAAAGTGGTTTAATAGTTAAGAATATGGGTCTGGAATCAGATTAGATTTGAATTATATTTCATAATTTCATGATTATGTGATTTTGGTCAAGATAATTTAACCCTTCAAGACCTGGTTTCTCCATCAGTAAAAAGCGGAAAGTAATAGTACTTACATTATCAGATAGTTGTAAGGTTTAAAGAATAGATGTGAAGGACTGGTACGATGGTAGGCATGTAGTAAATGCTCAGTATATGTTAGTTGACATTATTATTGTCTTCTAAAATTTATGTTGAGATGGGGTAGAAGATAAATCACTAATGATTTTTTCACTTTATAATAGCTGAAGTAAAATAAATTTGAATATTGGAAAATTATATAATAAAAATGATGAAACTGTTAAGAGATAATTGTTACTAGCTGAAGCAGAGCTCAAGAGTCTTGTTTGAAAATGAGAAAGTGGACTCAAGTCTGTCCTTGCCCTGTTACTCCATTGCTGACAGTGATAGTAACATATCATGTGGGTTTGGAGTTGTGGTGTAAGACAAGTATTTTCTTTTATTGCTACCAAATCTTATCAGAATTTATTGTTCCTGGAATTCTTCAATGTTAGACTGTTAAAGGAAAAATACTTAGCATTACATATTAGTAGGCTAATGTATGTTTGTTTAAAAATGTCAAAAGTACTTTTATTGTGTTTTTAGTGTTAAAGGTCAAAGCCATCGGGTTGGTATTACCTTTTACCAGTAAATACAGATCTCAAATGTCAGTCTGCTGCACTGTCAGTTTGTTGAAACAACATCATCACTGATTGCATTAAGCAAGTGTCTTACGTGTAACATGTTCAGTAAATACTTGACAAATAAATTTGGAAGCAGAATCTTTTGAGTAAAATAAGTAATATTTTCCACTGTTTAGAGATTTTTATTTGGTTTGAAAAGTGAAATGCCAAAAAGATTCCCCCAATACCTGTGTATCTGGGAAATAAAAAATGAGAACACAGACTTTAATAATGTTAACTATGCTTTCAATTTATATTAAGATATATTCTACTAATTGCAATAAAAATATACAGTAAGGAAAATAGGATTAAACTGTATTCACTGTAGACTATTTACCTCACTCAGTTTGCTCTCATTTTTTTGAAATAATTGTAAATCCCTTGTTCTCTCTAAATGTTAGTAAATAGCTAATACTAGAAGATACCTTAAGATTATGCATTTCAATTTTCTTATCAAATCAGGGCAAGGGTTTTTTTTTTAATTCCATATTCAAAACTTTGGATACCAAAGGATCTCAGTTCTTTTTTTTTTTTTTAACATTTTTTTATTGTTGTTCAACCACAGTTTTCTGCCTTCCCCCCGACCCCTCCCCACCACTCCAGCCCTCCCCCCCCTCCCTCCCCTGTTTTCACCCCCCATTTCTTATTGTCCATGTGTCCTTTGTAATTGTTCCAGCAAACCCTTCACCCATTCCCCCACTATCCCCTCCCCTTTCTCCTTTGGTCACTGGCAGCCTGTTCTCAAGGATCTTAATTATTAACACATGAAATTTTGAAACACTGAGGAATGGCTGTAAGTGCTCCTGCTAGTGGTGGGAGTCTAGCTCCTGGGAAGCAGCACCCATCTCCCATCCTTCCATTGGTGTGCTCAAAGTCCTCCGTAGTTCATCGTCAGGGGGACTGGTGTTGATTGCTTACGTGAGGTTCATCTTTTGGGTGTCTTTTCTGATTTGTTCCTACTCTTTCACCTTGCCTGGAGTGCAAGGGTAAGAAGTGGGTAAGAAAAATGTAGCAGGGTAGGGCTTGGGCATTTCTTAAGTTGCAGATGAAAGACACACCTTTCTTCTCATACATTTTGTGTAATTGGAAGATTTGAAGAGTACTTGTGTAATCAATCACTCCCACATTTGATGAACCCTTGGAAAAAATAAATGTTCGGTGTAGCTTTAATCCCAGTGTGGGGAAGAGAATGGGATTACAGGAAGGCAGGAGTATTAGATATGCTTCCCCTTGTGGACTATGTGAATAGTGAAGAAGAGGGAATTTTTGGTGTTCACAATAGATAAGGGTCAATAGGGGCAGTGAAGAGACTCTCATATTGTCCTCTTCCCTGGCAAGGTGCTGACCTCTGGTCAAGTATCCTGTCCAGTGTGAGGGTGGCCCTTCCTGTGATTAATAGTCTAAACCTTAGTCCCCCCGCCACTAATTGGTGCTGGGCTTCTGTAATTTGAGCTTTTGTCCATATGCTTACTAGAGGTATGGGAAAAGAACATTTAAAATGTTTTTCCTTAGGCAACTGAATGGAAGCAGACTGAGGAGGAGGACCAGATTTGAGTCAGCTTTCAATTTATTGAGGAATTTATTGCATTTATACCTATGTAGTTTAACAAGTCACAATATAGAAATTAGTATTTTTATTGATTTATAAAATGGTATAATTTAGGAAACACTAATTAGACCACCACATGTCATTTTAGAGATGAGGAATCTTGCTTGCTATCACAGAGAAAGATAGTTTTAAATGCAGTAATGTTGGCATCTCATAAATCTGATTCCTTACTCTGTTACCATTGGAAAGCTACATCATCTCTGAGCATCATTTTCCTCATCTGTAAAATGGGCATAATACCTATCTTAGAGGCTTGTCATTGGAAATCACCTTGTTTTGTCATATAATACGTGCTCAATAAATACTACCTTAGAAGTATTATCTTCAGAAAAAAATGCAGATAATGATATGAAGAGGTATGATTGCATATATTTCCTTCATAAAGTTCTTCACTAGTTTTTGTAGTACATATAAAAGTACAAGGTACCCAATTTGGGTTTATTATGTTAGTCTTATTTCTAATTATGAAATATTTTTCTGGGGATCAAAACCTAATCTGTATCTCACAGTGTGGAGCACAAATTGGGTGCTTTAATCAGTCAATTGATTGAAAAGGCAAGATGCCTAGGAAACATCAATAAATGACTACTTTTAGCCACTACGAATTTCTTGTTGAAGGATGCATGCTTGTAGATGTTAATGATGTATTTGTGCAAAAATTGAAAAAAGCTTTTTGTTTTAAATTAGGAGAGAGAAGCTCTTCAGAAACAGCTGGATGAAGCAAATCGAGAAGCCCAAAAGTATCGACAGCAGCTTCTAAAGAAAGAACAGGAAGCAGAGGCCTACAGACAGAAATTAGAAGCTATGACTCGTCTTCAGACTAATAAAGAAGCAGTTTAATTGAAATGAACGTATGGTTTGAGTTTGCTTTTGGTCAAGAGAGAATACAATCTTGAACTGTACACAATACGGTGCAGTCACGGGAAGACAGGATAATAGAAGAGACTACAGATTGGTAATTGGACTTAAGCCATGCAGTCTGAATTCTTGTAACATAAAACTAGAAGTTGTCAAATGTATTTAAAACTGAATTCTGTAAATAGTTTTTGTTTTTTCTTTTTTTTACAGTTCTAAATGAGTTAGTAAAGATTGTTGAAGAAATCCAAAAACACAATAAGCCACTGTTTTTGTGAATTCTTTTTGATTTTAGTATGAATCTTAATTTCTCAGAAACAGAACAGTTTTAAGGGTGATCGTTGTTGATTAGACCAAATGTTGTGTAATAATTATGTGGTGGACTGATGCTGGAATTACTCCTGTAGGTATAAACTTCTATATGAAGAGAAGATTTCTCCCAGGAAATCTTTGTACAGCTTTAAGTTGTCTCAGATTCTCTGAAAACATTTTTTAGAAAATAAATTTTTATATTTGTTCAACTTCAGCTATACCCAAGTAGATTTACATGTATATGAAGCAAATATTTTTAAAACTTTGTGTTTGTACATATTCTGCATGTTTTATAATTTCAGATTGCATCACTTGCATAGGTATTTTTCCCACAAAGATGACAAAAGTTAGTAGGGGGACAAACCCTTTTATTCTGTAGGGTCATCTTAACTAAGTAAGCTAGCAGCTGGTTTTATTGGAATGATAGTGTTCTTGGAAGGAGCAGCTTACAAGATAACTTGAATTAGCAAAATACAAAAATCTATGCTTTTTTGAAAATTTCGTAGTGGGGACGTGAAACTGTATTCTGTGCCTTCCATCATGATTTCCACGTGAAAGCACTTTAAGGCAGTACATTTTAAGATAATGTTTTTGGAAAACTCAGAGCATATGGGTTTCTGAAATATTTCATGGATTCATTCCCCTCCCTTCTCCAAGAAATTATTCTTATGGAAAAAAATGATTTTGTATGTAGAACAAGAACTTTTTATACTATAGTGATGCTATAGATAGGTCTACCATAACTTTGACTTTTTCTCTAAAAGCCCTTTGTGCTGTGACTTGCTCTCATCACAATATTGTTGAGTTCCACAATGTATGAACATTAAACTCTGACATACTGTTCATTCATTTTTGTAAAATGTAACTTCAAACCACTTTTCTTGCTTCATTTCTTGCATTAATGTTTTATTGCTTTATGAAAATGTTTAACCCTAAGGCCCTTCTAGATTACTTATACTGTAAAAGAAGCAATTACCCTTAAAACTGTACTCTGGCCTACTTTTCTATTTTACAATTAAATATCTTTTCCACATATATTCAGTGTAGACTTATATTTTGACCACATTTTATTCACAAATTAAAAATTTTGTTCTGTGTATCAAAGCCATATTCCACCATATGAAAATATATATGCTTCACATTGTGTCTTAAAAGTCCTTGAGGTAACTCCTTGGGAATTTGTTAATTCTTTCATTGCAGTTATCAGTCTAGTCATTAATATAGTAAAAGGATCTGTGAACTGTCAACCTGATGGTTGCTATTTGGAAACTCTTAGAAAGGCTTTAGGGAATAATTAAGAACTATATGAGGAAGAGGGGGAAAAAAACCCTTTCAGTTTTCTACTAAGTTTGACATAAATTTTAAGTCATCTAAAACTGGACTTTGGCCAAGATGGAGGCTTAGGTGGATACACTTGGCTTCCTCGCATGACCAAAAGGACAACAACCAATTTAAAAACAAAAAAACAACCAGAACTGCCAGCACATCAAACTGTATGGAAATGTGACAACCAAGGAGATAAAGAAGCATTCATCCAAACTGGTATGAGGGGTGGAGATGGGCAGCAGGGGTGGAAAGGATGCATGGTAAGCTCGGGGCAGGTGGACTGGGCAGTTTGAGTGCAAATATAAACCAGGAGGAACAGCTGGGTGGTGAGACCACACAACCCAGGGATCCAGTGTGGAAACCTAAAAGCCTTGAAATCTCTGGCTGTAAAAACCTGTGGGAGTTGTGGTGGTGGGAGAAACTCCTGGTTTCACAGGAGAGAGGGACCCATGGGGTCCTAAAATGTACACAAGCCCACCCACCTGGGAATCAGCATAAGGGCCCAATTTGTGGGTAACGGGAAGCAACTAAAAGTTAAGCAGGTTGACCTGCCCTGGAAAACACCTACGGCTCTGCCCCTTACAACATAATGGGTGTGCTGAGACAGATACGGCCCAAGTGAAAGGATGGATCAAATGTCCAGGAAAAGAACTAAGTGAAAAGGAGATAGCCAACCTATCAAATGGCAGAGTTCAAAACACTAGTAATCAGGATGCTCACAGAATTGAGTATGGTTGCAAAATAAAGGAAGAAGTGAGGACTATACTAAGTGAAATGAAGGAAAATATACATGGAATCAACAGTGAAGGGAAGGAAACCAGGACCCAGATCAACTATTGGAACAGAAGGAAGAAATACTCAACTGGAACAGAATGAAGAAACCAAATTCAGAAAGATGAGGGAGGCTTAGGAACCTCTAGGACAACTCCAAACTTTCTAACAGCTGAGCCATAGGGGTGCCAGAAGGAGAAGAGAGAGAGCAAGAAATTGAAAACTTACTTGAAAGAATAATGAAAGAAAACTTCAATCTGGCAAAGGAACTAGATATGCAAGTCCAGGAAGTTCAGAGAGTCCCAAAGAAGTTGGATCCAAGGAGGAACACACCAAGACACATCATAATTCAATTACCCAAGGTTAAAGATGAGAGAATCTTAAAAGCAGCAAGGGAAAAGGAGACAGTTATCTACAAAGGAGTTCCCATAAGACCATCGGCTGTTTCTCAAAAGAAACCTTGCAGGCAAGAAGGGGCTGGAAAGAGGTATTTGAAGTCATGAAAGGCAAAGGCCTACATCCAAGATTGCTCTATCCAGCAAAACTCTCATTTAGAATGGAAGGTCAGATAAAGTACTTCCCAGATAAGGTCAAGTTAAAGGAGTTCATCATCACCAAGCCCTTATTATGAAATATTAAAAGACTTATCTAAGAAAAAGAAGATGATCAAAACTAGGAACAGTAAAACGACAAACCCACAACTATCAACAACTGAACCTAAAACTCCTAAACAAAACAAAATCAAACTAAGCAAACAACTAAGACAGGAACAGAATCACAGAAATGGAGATCTCAAGGAGGGTTATCAGTGGGGAGGGGGAGGAGGAAGAATAGGGGAATGGGCATAGGGAATAAGAAGCATAATGGGCCCTGGCTAGTGTAGCTTAGTAGATTGACCACAGGCTGTCAACCACAGGGTCACCAGTTTGATTTCCAGTCAGGACACATGCCTGGGCTGCAGGCCAGGTCCCCAGTAGGGGGCGTGCGAGAGGCAACCACACATTGATATTTCCCTCTCTGCTTCCCTTCCCTTCTCTCTAAAAATAAAATCTTTTCTTAAAAAAGGCATAATGGGTAGGCACAAAATAGACAGGGGGAGGTTAAGAATAGTGTAGGAAATGGAGAAGCCAAAGAACTTATATGTATGACCCATGGACATGAACTAAGTGGGGAGGGAGAATGCTGGAGGAAGGTAGGATGCAAGGCAGAGGAGGATAAAGGGAGAAAAAAAAATAGGATAACTGTAATAGCATAATCAATAAAATGTTCTTTATTATCTAAGACTGTACATTTTACAAATGCTAGGTAATATTTTCAGTAGCATGAAGCTACTTTTTCCTCTGCTATTCATTACTTTAGAGCATTCATGTGCTTATGTTAGGCAGGTGCCCTGACATAATGCAATGTGGAAGTGGAGAAGTGGATGAGCCAGTGTGCTCATCCCGGTGGGGAGCAGTCTTGCCCCCAGACTAGTGTGGCTCTGAAGAGCCTCGAGACAGTGTTGGAAACAAGCTTCTGAAAGCTCAAGTAATGCCTTTGATTTCTAGGTCCCGTTCTCTTAGAGAAAATGCTAGAGAAAGAATTTTGACCCATAATGTGGCATAGATGGCAGAAAATAACTGATACTTAAAAGGAGTAAGTCTATGATAGTATCAGATGGATAGTCACTTTTTTTGTGATCCGATTGTTATTTTGGACTCTCGTAAATCCTCCATCATGTACCTGATTCACTGTCCTATGAAATCATTATTTATAACTAAAGCAATGGGTAGCCTTTTTCTGTTTTTGTTTTTTAAGCTTCTGTTTTCTTTTTCTTTTTTTTTAAAGATTTTATTTATTTATTTTTAGAGAGGGAAGGGAGGGAGAAAGAGAGAGAGAGAGAAACATCAATGTGCGGTTGCTGGGGGTCATGGCCCGCAACCCAGGCATGTACTCTGACTGGGAATCGAACCTGCGAGCGACACTTTGGTTCGCAGCCCACGCTCAATCCACTGAGCTACGCCAGTCTGTTTTCAGTTGGGCTGGAAAAGCTTAACATTCTAAGCATTCTCTGTAGAGTTCTGAGCAAAAGACCTCAAAGAATAAAATAAAAGTTTTCAGAAATCCACACTTAATATGTTTCCATTATGTAGTGATGGATTTGCCACATTGCTGGCTAGTAGTTACTTCCTTTTATGTGTGAATGACACCTTCCAGAGCAGCCTTTCTCACTTGAGGGTCTGTGGAGAAATCAAGCCCTAGTGCCCTGACTGTTAGGGCCTAATGAATTCATCTCTTGTAATGAATTAGTTTCTTTCTTTTTAAAAAGATTTTATTTATTTTTAGAGAGGAAGAGAGGGAGAAAGGGAGAGAACCATAATGTGTGGGAGGCACATTGATCAGTTCCCTCTCGCACGTCCCCAAGGGGGGACTGGCCTACACCCCAGGCATGTGTCCTGACTGGGAACAGGACAGGTGGTCCCTGGGTTTGCAGACCGGCACCCGATCCACTGAGCCACACTAGCCGGGGCTAGTTTCTTTTCTATACTTCTGGAATAGTACTGGTTTTGTACTGTCTTAGATGCTGAGCTCATTAGATGTCTTGAGTGCCTGATTTCCTGATTTTTTTTTTAAAGAAACAAATATTTCCCTTTATTTGATTATAATACATCTACCCTTGCAACATTCAAAATAATTAAAATTCTCAATTTACAGGCTTCTAAATAATGCTATTTAACTGAAAGCCAGCCAGCAAATAGCAACATATATTTGAAAAGTTTGCTTGTGGAAAATAATTTCCACACCAAATCAGCTGAGTAGAGTTAACAGGAGATTTGAAATGATCAGCATGTGAAAATCAGAACAGTAACACTCAGCAGCATTTTATCAATAGTGAGTTTGCCTTACTCCTTTGCAAGCTGCACACTGGTAGGCTTTGCTCCAATTGGTATCCCATGTTTGTGCAAAGTGTTAACCAAAATCTCCCTCATGTCGCTGTTGTAGGAGTCAAGGTCAAACACGTTCCTAACCACACTGGAGAGACCTTCGGTGGGAAATTTCTGTGAGTGTCTGACTATGTTGACAACTTCTCTGGTAGAATAAGGGTAGTTAATAATCCCCTGGTCAGCTAAACTCCTCAGCTCTCCAAAGGCAGCCACGAGCTTCTGCAGGACGGGCTCAGGCACATTTGGTCCATATTGCCTGAGCATCTCAAGCTCTGACTGGGGCTTGGGATTATCAACTGCATGGCAGCTAAAAATATCACCTAATGTCCCAAAGAAATCATTGCCTAGGAAAGGAAATCCAGGGTTCTGTAATGTGTAGTCTCTGGAACTCTAGGATTACCAGTTCTAAGTTCAGCCTGGGAGAGCCTCATCTGATGAATGGTATCTGTGGGGACTGTGCTTCTCCAAAAGGCTTGTGATGCCCTTTTCTTCATGGGCTTTTAGGAATTATTTTTTTATGGTGTGAATGTCAAGTAGTTATTCTTCCCTTCTACTCTGCCACTGGACTGCTCTGTGTGTTCATGGCAGTGGAGTGTTGGGAATCAGGGAGCTTTCTTTTGTGACGTTCAAAAGAGCAAAGTTAAAGAGGTATGGGCATTAATGTAAAATCCCATATAATTTGGACTATGCTTGCTTATAACAAAAAGATCTGTGTACAGATATAATTTTCCAAAACATTGTTAATGAAAATGTATTCCAGTCCGTATTTCTTCAACATGATTATTCATGATGTTATTTATTGAAAATTAGAAGAAACCCTTGCCCAGAACAGGAGTTGATGAGTTGATAAGACGTATTCATGGATGCCTTATGCTGATAGGAATGATTTTTTTCTGCATTATTCTACACAAAGTTTCTTCCCAATAAAATCTATAATTTCTTTGTGCTTTAAACCTGGAAGACGTTGAGAACTGACTCCAAATACATGAAGAAGAAAAACCTTTTCAGGTAAAAACAATCTGTTAGAACCTTTGTCTCCATATGGATGGGTTCCCAAGCCATCAGCACGCAGGCTTATATAACAAACAGGGAAAAAAAAAGAACACCTTTTCTATTCACCTAGTTCCTGCTGAACAAATAACTCCTTCCATCATGTCAGGTCAACTTAGGAATGAACTAATTAATGTATCTGCTGGTTTGTTAAGTAATATTTACTGTACTTGGATTTCATTATAGATAACTAGTCTGTTGTAGTTTTGAATGATGTTTGCTGTTTGCTTTCTCTTTGTTAGGAGAACATCTCGATGCACATGGGTTCAGTCTGACGTAAATTCTCTGATTCATCCTCAGATTACGGTGTGTAACCTATGATAGAAAATGCAATATCATCACTAGAAATATACTCCTGGTTCCAAGTCAAAATTTTGGTATCAATACTTTTGTGACTTACTAACAAACAGTATTTTCCAAGTGTATAGATGTACAGATACTCACAGTTTTTGATCATTTGATAGCCTGAGCTCCTTCAAAAACATTTCACTTCATGATGCAGTTTCTGGGGCTTTTCATTTTTAGATATATCCTGTAAGTCCCCCAAAACTACCATTTGCTTCCTAAAAATATTTTGACCTGTTTCTATGATTTTATACACTATACTTTATTAATTGCTTACTTGATTTTTCAATTGAATAGCTTATGTCTCATGTGCATAGTTGGAATGTAATATGTTTCTGACATATATAAATACATAGTACTATATAATGAAGCAATTTTCAACATTTTTCATCTCATGGCACACATATACTACTTACTAAAATTCTGCGGCACACCAAAATATATGTTTTCTGCCAATCTGAGAAAAAACAGGGATAGGTATTGACGCAGACATCGGCCCACAGTTTCTGTGGCATCATGGGTGAGACATGAGATATTCACATGGACTACTGAGTCCTGTGTGGAGGAAAAGGGATGGCACAGCTACCCTCTCAAGGGGAAGGCACCTTGGAGCAGCCTGGCCATTCTCTCTAGGGGAGAGCGCCCTGATCCTTGCCTTCACAGGTCTTTTACTGCATTTCAATTTGCACAGGAATACTGGTAAAGTTCATTAAACATTGTCAGGCAGTAAGGATCAAACAATAGATAATATACAAAGAACTCTGAGGGCCTGTTCTGAGTCAGGGTCTGTTAGCTAAAAGGCTATAAAACTTAAGCGTGCAAACTCATTTCCTTTATCATGTAATTGAGAGCATTCTTAGCAAAGCAGGTTTCACAGGATTTTATGTATTCTTTCTCAGGTCTGATCGCCTGGGGAGCCTGCCCTTTCCAGCACAGGGCTTCACCGCCCTCTGTCTTTGTTTCAGGCTTAAGTCAGGCAGGGGAAATAAGGCAACCAAGAGATTAGGAGACTTCTCAAAGACAGAATGAGGACTCAGGCTTTGTCAAAGCTGAGGGTCCATTACCCCCTTTTGCTGTAGTCCCCCAAGTCCTTCCCTGGGGCTTCCACATGATCATATCTGTCTTAGGTTGTTCCCCACTTGGGGAATCGTACCCATCATTGGCTGACTGATCGAGCACCGGGGCCCAGTTATGGAAAAAGGAGCAGAAGTGGTGCTCTTGCCAGGGAGATAAGCTTTGCCTCCTCAGTGGCTTATGGTCCGAAGGTCGCTCACTCAGCCTTAGCCATGGGGGGGTTACAGCTTCTGAAACCAGGCAGGGCAGTTCCCAACAGGTATAATTTTGATTGATTTGCAAAAAAAAAAAAAAAGTAACTACCTACCTTTTTTGTTCCAAAGTGACTTAAAGAAATCAGGTGCCCATACTTGTATGTAAGGATTTCTGGTACTGAGAAGTGACCAGTCAGTCCTGGCTGGTGTGGCTCAGTGGATTGAGTGCTGGCCTGAGAACCAAAGGGTCACTGGTTTGATTCCCAGTCATGGCACATGCCTGGGTGGTGGGCCAGGTCCCCAGCTGGGGGCATATGAGAGGCAACCATACATTGATGTCTCTCTCCTTCTCTTTCTCCCTTCCTTCCCCTTTTTTTCTAAAAATAAATAAATGAAATCTTTTTCTAAAAAAGAATTAACTAATCAGACAACTTTATTCTGCAATATGACCAATAAGATGCAACTATGTTATATGACCTATATACTTACGGTTCAAGACAGGGCATTCATACAAGGCTGCTATATGTTGGCTTTGTCATTTTTTTGTTTGACGACTTAAAGGAAAAGAGGTCTGTGCCTCTGACTAAATAGTCAGGTATCAGGTTTTAGAAATTCTTGCAGCACCGTGAATGAAAATCACTGTTATAATCAATTCCAGTCTGACTACTGATTGATTACATGAATTATAATTTTGAATTTTATAGATTATTTATTTAAACGTCTTCTTGATTTTTTGTAAGAATGTTTTTTGTATGCCAGGTAACAGTGCTTAGTATTTTTAATGGGCTCAATAAATGTCAGCTATTATCACTGTCAATATTATTTTTCCCACCCCTGCTTTTATGAAAGGTTTATACTATTGGCATTATTACTGGGGTCCACATCCACTAGGCCATTTTTCCACCAAAGGTCTTATGTTCCTAGGGCATTTTTTTTCTTTTCCTTTTTCTTTTCCTGATTCACTTTCTTTTCCTTTTCCTTTCTCCTTTTCTTTCTTCCCCTCCCTCCCTTCTTCCCTCCCTCCCTACCATCCTTCCTTTGTAAATTAAAGCTTTATTGAGATATAATTCCATATTATAAAATCCCCCAATTTAAAGTGTGCAATGCAGTCCTTTTAGGGTATTCACAGGGCTGTGCAACCATCACAATAATCAATTTTAAAACACTTCCAGAACTCCCTACAAAACCCCCCAAAAACCCTGTTCCCTTAGCTGTCAACCTCTGATTCCCCACCCTCCAGCCCCTAGTAATGAGCAGTCTACCTTCTGTCTCTATAGATTTGATTCTTCCAAACATTTTGAACAAATGGAGTCATATAACACATGGTCCTTTGTGACTGGTTCTTTTCACTGAGCATGTTTTCAAAGTTCATCCACATTATGTGTGAGTACTTCCCTTTTATTGTGGAATAATATTCTGTTGTATGGGTATATAACATTTTATTTATCTATTTATCTGTTGATAGACACTTGGGTTCTTTCCACTTTTTGGCTATTATGAGTAATGCCTTTTATGAACATTTGTGTTTCTGCATGTGCATTCATACATACACTAACATACACACCCCCTTAGGTGCTAAAAGTGGTTAAGTTTGGTGATTGCTATTTTTTTTTTGCGTCTTTGTGTTTTCTCATCTCTTTACAGTAAGTCCTATGTAGTAATACAAATTCATCATGTGAGATGATGACATCTGCCTGTTCCTGAGCACAGGGAGTCAGCATGACTCTCAGCACCTGCTCCTTCCTCCCTGCCGTTCATAGGGACACAGCAGCAGGAATAATACCAATAATTTGTGCCACTTATTCTGCATACCCCTGCCTTTGTTCTGGGCCTCCGAGCTGTGAGCTTTGTCTGAGGCGGGGGCTTGTCTGAATCCAGGGGCAGGAAGAACTGGGCGCTGTTCACCTTGTTTACCTGGAGGCTGCCTGCAGGCTCGGGTTGCTAAGTGCACCGTCATTTCTTGACCAAAATTGTGGTCACTGTTCCTCCCAAGGGCTGGGGGAAGAAGGGGTGGATTGATTCAGCCCAGAGGAAGGGCTTTTGAAGGGCGGAGCTAAGGTTGAAGAAAGGAGAACCCTTCAAATACAGGGCCCCCTCTGGCCGCCCAGCAGTGCCCCTTCGACCTCCTGCGTGTCTGTGACAAGGAGCCTGAGACGAGGAGATGATGGAGCCAGAGGAGTACAGAGAGAGAGGTGAGCGAGGGGCATCCGGCCCTTTTCTGGCTGCCAGCCGCGGGAGCTGCTGTTGGTTGTGGGTCCTTAGATTTCGGGGTGTCATTTGACTGGGAGTTAGAATTGCCTTCTGAAAGTTGGCTGCTTTTAATTTTTCTCCTGAGAAAGGAATGTGGGATCAGAGTCTGACACTTATCTCCACCTCTCTTTCATTCTCCCTCTCATATACCCATTCCCATGTGTGTCTTCTCTACCATGTCATGCTTTTTCTTTCTACTTTCCCACAAAATAGAGGATTTGAATTCCTGATCAAATGGCAAAAGTGGGATGAATTATTCGTATACTAAAGTAGAAAAAAACTTCCTAAGTATTCTGTAGTCACTGAAAAATCTTTTATTTCTTAACATGCGTTTTTCTATGTGTGAACTTATCAGTAATATTCTTTCTTTTTAGTCAAACATCCCATAACTATTTACTGAGCACCTACTATGTATCAAGCCCTGTGTGCTGAGCAAAACCAAATGTGTTCAGGCAGGGCTCTCCTAAGAAGAAAAGTAGGCAGTTGCTTATAGTTTCTCTCCCTCTAAGTTTTTATACCCTCACCCCACTGTCAGGTTATATTGCCTGATATTCTTTTGCTGTGAGGTGCTGTCCCGTGTTAAAATCCGAATTTCTCTCTCTCCTCCACTCAGGCATAACTCACTAGGAAGCTATCAGCCTTTAGACTTCAGTGTGCATCGGCTTCTCTTATTGCTCTGAAGGCACTGTTAGCTCAAAGAAGTTAGTTCCTATGGACATTTATCTTGTGAGTGGGGCACAAATACATTTCATACTGTCCCTTAGAAGTGGAGCGCTAGGCCCAGGGCTCTCAGACCCCCTGGGGGGGGGGGTCCTGCTCAGACACATGAAGCATTGGGCTATGGGAAGGTTGAAGGAGAGCAAAATGAGAGAAGGGTGTGAAATCTTTTTGTTTCATTCACAACTTTGTCTGAGGCTGGTCCTGCTCCTCAGAATGTTAAACGAGGTGGTGCAGAGGAATGAGTCAGTTTCCCTCTCCTCTCCTCTCCTATTTTATTTATTTTATTTTTGCATGGGGAAAGGAGGCTTGGGAGTACCAAGGAGGAGTTACAGATATTGAGACAGAGAGATGAACACACAGACACAGATGGGGAGATGGGGAGAGAGTTGGAGAGAGAGACACACACACAGAGGGGCACACTCAAACAAAGGCACAGGAGACTGATCCTCCTGGGGGAATGAACGGGAAGAGAGAATAAATGATTGGCAGTGGCTTCAGAGCGTTTGATTTGCCTACCTTTCTTCCATTCATTTGGTCGAAAAATTTTTTAACAATCGAGGAAATGTTCTAAACACTGGGTACTGGTGGAGGCACAGGGAGGAGATAAAGTGAGTTAGGCAAGGTTTCGGGCTAGTGTGGGATTCTTAGTTGGGGCAAATGGTTGTGCTTTAGGGATTTCATGAACTTCATAAATTATAGACAAAATTTTGTGTGTATGTCAGCCTATAGTTTTAATCCTATTGTTAAAGAAATTTGTGGGTCTAAAAAAACATGAGGAATTACTGGTGCAATGGGAATGGTGAACAAATAGATTTTTCACCTATAATCAGAATCTGCCGTGGGAAAGTGCCACCTGCACTGACAGGGAGTGTGGTGTGTGGGTGACTGCGCACGTGCGTGTGTATACGTAACAGTTTTTGGATAGGAAAAGCCAGTTTCCACTGAACTGTGATGAATTAGCAGATGTTCTATTTTTGAGAAGAAAAGAAAAGTGGGAGAGATGACCATGACCGATATGCATAAGGGAAGGGGAGGGAAAAGAAATGTTTTATGCTTCGGAGATTTTCCCTCTTGTTCATTCGTTCACTCCACATGCCCTCCACCATTCATTCATTCCCTCACTGACTTTTTCTCTTATCAGACCCCACCCACCCATGACCCCATCTCCTCCTTCAGCAAGTTTCTTAGCCCAGACATGAGGGGGACAGGCACACACAGCCAGACCTGGTCAGGGGACATGATGCTGGTTTCTCTGCCTCCCTTGTAGGAAAAGAGATGGTGGATTACATCTGCCAGTACCTGAGCACTGTGCGGGAACGCCGGGTGACTCCAGACGTGCGGCCGGGCTACCTGCGGGACCAGCTGCCCGAGAGTGCACCTGAGGAACCTGAAAGCTGGGACAGCATCTTTGGGGACATTGAGCGAATCATCATGCCTGGGGTAAGAGGCAATCACCACAAGAAACAGTTCTGGGTTTCGGGGTGTGGGAGTGGGCAGTAAGTGTGGAGAAAGGGCCCCTGGGATGACCCTTCAGCCACTGGGCCACCATCCAAGCCCAACTTCTGGGCCTGTGGAGGGCCAGGACTTCGACTGAAATTAGGTTTCTGATGCCAGGGGGGCTGTAGTGTCGGGTGGGGAGCAAGAGAGAGAGAGAATAAGGTCTGCATCCCGGGGCCTAGTCGGACAGAAGTGTGGAAATCGAATGGGATGAGCAAGAAGTGAAAGCTGGGCCTGAACAGAAAGGGCAACTGTGGGGAGCGGGATGGAGAGAGGAGGCTGGAGATGGCCCCAGAGGTGCCAGCTGGCAGAAGCAGGGTCTCTCCTGCAGAATTCTGAGACATGTCAGAGAGAAAGAGGCAGTTGAGAGCACAGCTCCCTGCGGGCACCCTGATGGTTAGACTAGGCACCTGGGAAGCTCAGTGAGTCCCGTCAGTCCCCTCCTTTCCCCTCTGTGAGGTGGGAGCCACATCCTTCCTTATCAAGCAGAGGTCTTGCGATCAATCTGCTTCTCAGGGGTAAGAAGGGGCTTTCCCTGCATTAACCACACTGCCAGTGACAGAAGGCACAACCTGGAGATAGCCAGGGGCCAGGGAACAGACAGAAGCTGGGTGGTGTGCAGGGCTGGAGCGGAGGCCCACGGCTGCGGGCTGTGATGGAGTCCCTGCCACCAGGAGTGAGGAGCTGTGTCAAGGCATCCATGCTAAAAGTGCACAGGTCTTCTTCCCATGGAAGGGCTGCCTTTCAGTGAGCTCCATGCCATGTGCCAGGCACTGTGCCAGCCACATTACAGGACAGCTGCTTCTGTGCTACAGAGACCCCACGATCCCTGTTTTACATGGGAGTCAGTTGAGGCTCAGAGAAGGTCACTGTCTTCCCAAAGTCACAGAGTTTATGCCTGGCAAACCCGAAGTTTTAACCAAGGCCAGTCTCACTCCAGGGGCTCTGCTGTTTCTCCTACGCTGGTATCTCTGCTAGTGAGCGACAGAGTGCCTGAGACTGAGCCCGCACGCCCAGGTGCTGCTCCCGCAGCGGTGCCCCGAAACACAGGCTGTGTCCCCACTCCCTCTGCTCAGGGCATGGGTGTTCTGAACAGCATATCTAGCAGTTCTTCCCAAGGCCGACTTCAGATCTGCTTCCATTATCCCTAACGAGCTGTGAACTTAGACGTGCTAGAAGTGCAGCTGGAGTCAGGAGCGAGACATTGTTCAGACTCAAAGTGATAGCAAGTTTGTGCCAAGCCAAGCTGTTTGACCTATTTTACAAGCATCTTTGAAAATTTGTGTGTCAGTAGAGCTTCACCAAGGAGGCCAATGCCCCCATAAGATTATCTCACAGATTTCAAATGTAATCTGTAAATCAAATGTAATCAAATGTAAAATGTAATCTGCTTTGGGGCCAACTGTAATTTGGTAGTGACATGAAAGCAACTGTCAGAAGAGGCAGAAATGAGCTGATTCATTTGATTGAAAGAAATTCTAGCAGTTGCTGGGAGTGTGGTCCCAGAGGCTGATTTCTGGACCAAGAGGTCTGTCTATTTTGATAAGAGTTCCTCTGGCTTAGTGTATTGTGTTTATCTTACAAGAGCACACAATTGCCCTTTGATAGAATCAGGAGACGGAAGCCCTTCTCTGGGTTTCCAAAATATTGTCACTAAGCACATCGATAATGAGGCCCAATCTCTCATCTCATCGCACAGGCTGCACTAGCCTCTGCGTTGGGCTGAAAGCAGTTGGCCTTTTGCTTTCTCATTTGGGCAGTACCTCGCCGACAGCTGGGTTAATCTGTCCCTCCGTGCCACCTCCTAGACACAGAGAGGAAAAAGCATCCTTTTGCTTTAATTCCAATCCTGGTCAGAAAACCCTCATCTACTCTGGATGCAGGGAAGAGCAGCAGCAGCGGGGGAGAAGGCAGGGTGCCATCCTGCTTAGGAGTTGGGCTCTGGGGTCAGACAGTGCTGGGTGTGTAGGCGCTGTCATCTGTCCCCACGGAGGGTGTGTGATCACAGGAGCACTGCCAGCCCCAATTCTCATCTGTAAAACAGGGGTAATAATGGCAGAACCTACCTCATTCTCACAGGGTGCTGTGAGGATTAAATAAGATAAGTCATGGAGAGTGGAAGAGATTGGCAGTAACTATGATGCCTTCAGCTGGGTGAGACTTGGAGGAAGTGGTCTGATTATCTAAGAGTCAAGTCAGGGTACGTGATGAGTTTATCACCATGCAATTACCGTTAGCCTTAGTGCTTTACATTTTACAAATTTCCTCCTGGGCCAATTCATATAGCAACCCCAGGAGACAGGGTTTAGTTTTTGATGAGAAACTGAGGTTGAGAGAGGTACAGGGGAAGAATCCTATACCAATGAGGTCCAATACTTACAAGGTCTGAATCCTATACCAATTTTAAGATCGTTTTAAAGAAAATAAAGTTAAGGCTCTCAAGAGAGACCCATACAAACATGGGACCTTGGAGCTTAAGTCCATCAGCTTCACAATAAATAGACAAGGTCACACAGCTGGTTTGGGGCAGAGGTGGGTCTGGAGTGTGTTTAAAGTATCCTTGAGTTTAAATCTTAGGCTGCTCCTACCAAACACGCTGTCCAGGACACCGTCCTTGTTCTTGAGGGATAAAAGGAATTTGTGTGCCCTAAAAATCTCTATGCTACACTAAGATGTTATCTAATGAGTTCTTGGTAGGATGAAACCGCAGAATGAAAGAGTTCCATGCTCTCAAGGAAGGGATCAAAGGGCACACAAAGGGAAAGGCTTTGTGGAGGAAATGAATATTTAGTAACTTTTGAAGAATTAACAGGTTTTGGAGGGTCGTGTCTGTATAGGAAGTGCCTTCTTGTCGGGGACAGAGCATTGCTCAAAGACACAAATACAGAAATGGGCAGGGTGTACTTGCAGAGAAGTGAGATGAAGCCAGATTAGGTCATCAGTGAGACCGATGAGCCGGCGAAGATGCATCAGAGGCCTGGTGTAGGGGGCCCTCCCTGTCCACCTGCCTCTTCTTTACGTCCAGTTTAATCTCACTGTGGCCTCGGGGTTAGCCTGGAGGCAGGGGTCCTACGATCTCTTCTCCCCTCTCTTCCTCCCCTTGGGAAGCTAAGGACAGCTTTGAATCCCTTCACACTGACCTACTGCAGGAGCTGCATATCCAGAGAGCTCAGAGATCCATAAAGCAAAGCATGCTTTTTGCAAAAATAGATTAGACAAGAAACCTACTGTCCCCAATAGTCTCCCCTTCCTTTTATTACTGGGCAGGAGTGGCATGTGACATAAGCATTGGAGACCAATGTGAACATTACCCAGAATCCCCAACTCTAATTACTGTAGCAGTTTTCATTTCACATACTCCCTCTGGTTTTTGCATATGTGCAAATGCTCCACTGAAGAACTAGCTTAGAATATGAGAAATGTGGTTGGCAAGAACACTGTGAATATGTCTTATTTTTATGGCATTGTGTCACTTATTTGGCTGCCTTAAAAATGTCAGCCCATCTCTAGACTGGGTGCTTCCCTTGCCAGGGAGGGTCTCTGGAGAAGGAAAGCCTCCCACACATGCCTCCTGGTGTCACCTGTGTACATGCTCTGTCTCCAGGTGGTGCACTGGCAGAGCCCCCATATGCACGCCTACTACCCAGCTCTCACCTCTTGGCCGTCACTGCTGGGAGACATGCTGGCTGATGCCATCAACTGCTTGGGATTCACCTGGGTGAGTAGCAATGGCTGTAGCTATAACTAGTGACAATGGGGAACACAGCAAGATGTGACATCCTAAGGCACACATACTTTGTCCTGGTCTCTGAACAGAGTTCCAAGGTGAGCATTAACAATGGCAACATTTTTTAGACTTAAGCTTTACACAAATTATCTCATCTTATCCTTTAACCATTGTGGTATCGGCCCCATTGTGTAAGTGAAGGAATTCGGGCTGATGTAGCTTATCTCCTCCCCATGATCACCCACCTCAAAGAGACAGAGATGAGATCTGGACTGAGATGTGGTTATTGCCACAATAGGTGACCCTAACTGAACACTTTGGTGCCTGTGGGTACAACTTCCTTTGTGCTCTTGTCTTCGAGGGATTAGGGATATGCCCTAAGACTTCCCGTAATAACCCTTTAAGCACCAAGCAGCTTTAAAGTATGCCAGAGCCTCCTAAAACAGCTTTATATTTTAAGCCTGAACTGTTATAAGATGTGTGTATGTGGGAGGAGGTGGTGAGGGGGGAAGAGAATTGCTCTCCTTTCCAGGAAGGAATGCTTGCTTCCTTAGTCCTAGAATTTCCCCCTGGCCTTCAGAACGTATCTCAGCTGGGTTTTTAAGGGACTCGGGGAGCCAAAGGAAAGCAATCATTTCTAGAACTTGGAGTCACAGAAGAACCCACCTCATCAAGGGTGACCTGAATCAGAAGCCCCACATTCTTTTTCCTCTTTCTGGTTTGTCAGAGGATGGGGTGGGGCTGGGCACAGGGCCTGACATCGACCCCCTTCCCCAGGGGTAAAATCGGTCAGGTTCCCACTGATACCGTCATGAGCATGGGAATACTAGGGCAGAGACAAATGTATTTCTGGGACTGGTGGGGGCATCCTGGTGTCCTGGGGCTATCCGGATGAGGTTGCTTTCCTTCTTTCAGGCTTCCAGCCCTGCGTGCACAGAGCTGGAGATGAACATCATGGACTGGCTGGCGAAAATGCTGGGACTCCCGGAGCACTTCCTGCACCACCACCCTGGCAGCCATGGGGGAGGCGTCTTGCAGGTGCCTCCATTGTCAACACTCCTCCTAGCCTGGGGGATAAGTAGTGACAGATAAGCCAAACCCTTGCCTGGGGAATTCTCCTGTTCCCCTGAGGAGTCTCCACATGTCACTCACACAACCACCACCATCCCTGCCACCACCATCTCCATTACCAGCATCACTGTTACAGTTGACACCATCACCCAGCAACACTGTCACTGGCATAGCTACCTCCTCCGCCACGGCCACCACCCCCACCACGGCCGACTCTCCCATCTCAATTTCCACTTCACTTCCACTGCTGCTACCACTGTCTCCACTCTTTCTTTCTCTTCTCCTTGAAAAATATGAAAAAGTCAGTGCATCCTCACATTTCTGGGATTACTGGATTTGGGTTTCTCAGTTTATAGCCCGGCAACTCTCCTCCCTTGTTCCGTTTTACACTGTATGGTACGTGGAGAATAGAAGCAAGTAGAGACTTCTTCCTGTCCCTCCCAAGTTCCAGGAGGTCCTTGGCAGCAGGAGAAATTAACAGCATATATCAGTTTATCTTATCCTACAACCCTATCTTTTATATATCTATCAAATGATGGTTCTTCAAATCTCTCTCTCTCTCTGTCTCTCTCTGAAAAGTAATACCACAGAGTAGAGCTTCCTGGGCGCTGCCACAGACCAGGTGCACTGCCAGGTGCTTGTGCATCTACAGTCCCTTCACATCCGTGGTTCTGAGGGCTTGCTTCTGAGAGCTTTGAGAATCCCAAGTTCTTGAATTCTATCATCATGAGTAATTTTGGGGGTTTCGTCCTCTATAAATAAGATAATATTTCCCTCACACCTCACACCTCACACTCACAGAGTGGATATGAGGGTTAAATGAATTCTTCTATCAGATAAAAAGCTCCACACTGCCCTGAGATAACTGGAAAGTTCAGTGAATCCACTTGTTGGCTAAGTGACTTCCTTTCTCACTTCAGCCTTTCTGTGAGCCTCACAAGAAAGACAAATTATTGTATGTCATGGATGTCCAGGGTTCTTAGCAAGTAGTTAAAACTTTAGATGTTGTATCTGGGATAATATGCTAAATGTCTGCTGTACATGATCTTGTGTTTCATCTAGTCATCTCAACAACCCTGTAGGTAAATATCATCATTCCCCATTTTTAGCGCCGAAGCTCAGAGAGGCTATAGACGTGCCCCAGATCACACGGCTGGTGAGTGACAGCCATGGGAACTTCGTTTGGGCCTGTAACCTCTCGCTGAGCTTCATTATCCTTGTCTGCAGACAAGAATCACTAGGATCTCAGAGGTTTTATGAGGAGCAAATGGTATGAGAGGAAGTGTTCGGTAAATTATAAATTGCTATACAGATGTTAGGTGGTATTATTATTAGGACTCAGCTGGCTTCCTCATTGTGGAGTAATTTCCAGCCACTGACTATCTAGTGGGAAATGGTCTGTACCACTCTGGTGACCCTGTCGGCCAGGCCTTCATCAGGGAGCTATCTGCTGCAGGTCTCCTGAGGATTTCAAGAAGCAAAGACATTGAAGACTGAGTGGAAGCATGATGAGAAACCATACTGATTCCATGAGGCTGCTGAGGCCCCCAGGATTCCCACAGACAGTTAAAGGGACGTGCTCCATTTTATAAATGGAAAAATGTCTTCCAGAGGGAAAATATTAGGTCAAGGGCACAAGAGCCACTGGCAGCCAAACTGAAGCCAAAGCCATCATCCTCTCTCATTGACCAGAACCCTCTCTTTGGGATGTCCCCGTGGAACAAACTCCATTTCCATACCTAATAAATTGAGACTGCTTTCTTTTAAGCACATTTTACATGGGGGAACAAACATATCTATAAGCAAACTTGTGTCTAGCAGGGGCTAACCATTCTGTTTTTGGTCACTGTGGCCTCTCTAATAAAGATGTCAGTTTTAGGTAAAAATTTGCTTTCATTACTTCCCTGGAAAGTTAGAGAAAGGCATCCCAGGGTTGCTTAAGGTGCTGTGAATGGCGAATGCAGAATAGGCACGTGAGCTTAGGCAGAAGTGGTGAGCTTTTTAAGAAACAGCTATTACACACACACATACACACACACACACCCCTATGAAGAGCCTGGGGGAATTTTGCAAGACAGCCCAGGGAGAGGCTGCCACTGGTAACCTTTCTTCCACGACAGAGCACAGTCAGTGAGTCCACTTTGGTCGCCTTGCTGGCAGCAAGAAAGAACAAAATCCTGGAGATGAAAGTGTCTGAGCCCGAGGCAGACGAGTCCTCCCTGAACGCTCGCCTCATCGCCTATGCCTCTGACCAGGTGAGTCCCCAACCACAGACCATACCTTCCGATCATTGCTTGGCTTCTGAGGTCTTAGCCCTGGGGTCATTTTCTTCTCAACATGAGTGTCCTGGGGTTAAGGGAAGCCCAGGCTCGTGAGATTGTCTCCAGGAACCCTAGAGACAGACAAGCGCCAGATGTTCATTTGACTCCCTTAGTCTGGGGGTTTCAGCAGTTTCTGGGGCATGCTCATTCGAGATGGCTCTGCTCCCCGTTCTCTGTGGTCCTGCCAGGCTCACTCCTCCGTGGAGAAGGCTGGGCTGATTTCTCTTGTGAAGATGAAGTTTCTGCCTGTGGACGACAACTTCTCACTCCGAGGGGAAGCCCTGCAGAAAGCCATCCAGGAGGACAAGGAGCGGGGCCTGGTGCCTGTCTTTGTAAGTCAGAACATGTTCTGAGCCTAGGGTGATAGAACTTGGAGGTGAGGGAGGAGTTTTGGCAGAATTCATGTAAGTAGCATGCTGCAAATAAAAGCAGAAAGGCATTAAAATATTACGCTGTTTACAGTGTGTGAGTTGCTATTATTGGTGTGTTAGGAAATAAATTTGGGGGGGGGGGTCATAAGCAGAATTAAAAAGAAAAAAGAAACCTAATAGAAAATTTTAGAGTGCATTCCCGTAACCAGACTATGTATTCCTTGGTGGAACTTTTATTCCAACCACATATGTGTATGTGTGTACTAGGTTACCACATACAGTGCACTTCTTACTGTGGGTCCTGGTAAAATACAGTGCGAGATGCACACTGTTTTGCTAGGATGGGTGGGGCAGATGATATCTGTGATTTAATTTTCTTTCAGGCCAAATGTGTCCCAAGAACCCACCTTCCCATGTTAACTGCCTCTATTTTCCTCCAGGTCTGTGCAACCCTGGGGACCACTGGAGTCTGTGCATTTGACTGCCTGTCAGAGCTGGGCCCCATATGTAAGTCTGCTGCATCTGGTTGGGAAGACAAGTAATGAATTCTAGAAAGTTCCTTAGAGCAAGAACCTGAAACCAGCTCTGTGGAAATGTTTCGCCCCTCCCTAGCTCACACATATCTTCTCCCAGGCAGCCAGGCCCCTGCTTTCCCCAGAGGTGTGACCAAGGGTCAGAGCTGCTCTCCCTGGCTTCCCGTCCTCGGAGGCAGCAACGGGAGAGCTTCAGGTTTCTCCCCCTCTCCCTTGTATATCGAAATCTGCTTAAAGCAGGCTGCATCTGTAAGCACAGGGAGAATGAGGCATAGTGAAAAATTTTCTAGTCTAGGCTAAGAAAATGAAAAGTGTAGGGTAGGGGAAACCGTGGGAGGAGCTCAAGGCAGAAAAAACCCAAATGTGATTGTTTCAAATCTCCGAGCAAGAAACCCACTGGGAAAGACGGACATACCCTCTCTGATGTGTGTATTAGATGCAGTAACAGTGCTCTCTGGGCCAGTAGCAAGTTGGTTTGTATGTCAGAAAGCTCTAGGATGAGGCCAAGAGAGTGCTGACCTCCAGCCAGTGAGGGAAAAAGGTCAGGGAGGGGATCCATAGGCTTTCCCTTTAGGAGGAGGTGGGACCTCATTCCACCCTGCTCCTCACACCCATATCCCCTCCCGTCTCCACACTGCCTCTACGTCCCAAGGAGCCAAAGCAGGCCCGCCTTCCCCTGCTCTTCTCTTGCAGCCTCCCAGCCAACCAGGCCAGCCCAGGCCAGAGACACCCTTTAGCTGGCTGGTGGCAACCCCCACCCCGACCCCAGTCCCACCTCCCAGATGGGTGACGTTTGCCTCCTCAGGTGCCAGGGAAGGGCTGTGGCTCCACATCGATGCTGCCTATGCGGGCACAGCCTTCCTGTGCCCCGAGTTCCGGGGGTTTCTGAAGGGTATCGAGTACGCGGATTCCTTCACCTTTAATCCTTCCAAGTGGATGATGGTGCACTTCGACTGCACTGCATTCTGGTGAGTGTGGCAGCCAAGCTCCCAACCGTCAGGAAAGCCTTACCTCCTCTGGAGAGGCCTCAGCCTCTAATGCCCATTTGGAAACCCACAGGGTCAAGGACAAGTACAAGCTGCAGCAGACCTTCAGCGTGAACCCCATCTACCTCAGGCACGCCAATTCAGGCGCAGCCACCGACTTCATGGTGAGTGGCCGGGAACGAGCAGCCTGGTGGCTTCTGAAACGGAAGCTGGCTGCATGTGACCCCCAAGGGCTTCCTGTGTGTCAGCTCTGATCAGAAGGTGGCACATTGTGAGCCCATCCCATAATATTGCTACTGTATGCCTTTGATTTCAATTTGTGCCCAGCATGAAACCTGGAACACATTAAAAGCCCTAAAAATGAGACCAACCTTATATAGGCAGTCTGCACACTTCCTGAATATCTGTGGCATTTTTTATTCCCAGAAATGTCTCCTTACCAACAATGGACTCTTCTTCCTCTGTCCTGGATAACCTTTTCTGCTTGCTACTCAGCAGCAGGGTAGGGTGGAGAATTTCCTTGAGTAGGGAAGGGGGCTCCTTGTTTAAATCACTTTTGTGGTTTTGACCCCAGAGAGACACTGTGGAGGCTCCCATGTAGGGTGGCGTCAGGGGCATCCCTCCTGAGTTTCTGGATGCCCTGCACACTCCCGGTGTTTCCACTGGCTTCACCACAGTCCCTCAGACCTGCTCACACTGTCAGCCTGTACTGTCTGTTGGGGAAATGGGTTCTGCAGGGTTACCACTCAGTTTGAAGAGGGGCCCTTTTGTGATTGTGGGGCAGGCAGAAATGTAAACAAATAAGTTGCATGTCATGGCCAAGGGGAGGTGGCTGTGGGTCTTTGGGGGAACTTCGTGGACCTTGATTTCCTTATCCATTTACATTCGCTATTATTCTGTACTAGTTTTAGGTGTATAGCATAGTGGCTAGGCAATCATATACTTTATAAAGTAATCACCCCAATATTTCCAGTACCCACCTGGCACCATATATAGCCATCACAATACTATTTATTGATTACATCTCCTACATTGCACCTTACATCCCATGACTGTTCTGTAACTACAGTCTGTGCTTCTCAGTCCCTTCACCTTCTTCGCCCAGCTCCCCGGCCCTTTCCCCTCTGACAGCCGTCAGTCTGTTCTCTGTGTCTGTGAGTCTGGAACCTTACTATTTATAGTCCTATTCCTAGAAAGTGCTGCTTTTTGCTTTTTTCACACTCACCTGGAATCCAATGGATTTAATTTTCAAGTCTACATAGAAACTCCTAGAAAACTAGAGCTATTCGTTGTGACAGTGGGAGTCTTCACTATTGCTCTGACTTGTGCCCCAAGCTGCACAGGTGGCTGCAGCTTTAAATAGAAGTTCCTGAGAAGACTGAGGGGTTTTGTCCCTGGGGCCCTGGAACCACCTAAAATGAGGGCTAGGTTCCCTGACATCAGGGGTGCACCCTCTCCTTCCCCCAACGGTGGATGAGGCATTGTCTCACCCTTGGTGAGGGGACCTGCAAAGCATTGGAAGCAGTTTGAGAATGCCCTCAGTTACAGAGGAGCCGCAACCCCCTTCGTGAGCCAGACTTTACGCACTTTCCCGTTCCAAAAGAACCTATCGGCTAGAATCACCCAGTTGGGTCAGCATGGGTTGGCTTTGGAACAGGGACAAGAGGAATAACTTGGGACATGGACAGAGTGTGAAGAAATAAAAATGAAAATAATCTCTGCTTCTCCTTTAATTTGCTGGTGAAATAAAGTAGCTAATTTACAACCATCTGGAAAACAATGTTTAAAAAATTTTTTTAAATTATTTTATTTATTTTTAAATAGAGGGCCTCCACTGTCCGTTCTTATTTTCTCAAAGTGTCCATCTAACAGGTGATGGAGCCGACACCTTCCTTGTTAACAGGGATTTTGTTCCGTGCCTGGGCTTTGATGCCCTCTGCTGGTAAACTAGTTTCCAAGAGGGTCCTCAGCACCAGAGTTTTGCTAGGAAATCAAAGGCTTCACGCTTGGTGCGGGAGAAACACTGTATTAACCTCCTAGGGGTAACATCCTAGGTCAGGATGAACGTGAGCATGTTTCTGAGAAGCTGGTGATCCTGTGGATGAGTAGATAAATATTCAATGGAAAAAATATTTATTTTAGTCAACAGAAATTGTGGTAGAAGCTTCCTGATGTTTGAAGAAGAGGTCATTAGAAATCACATCACTTGTCAGAATAACTGAAAAGATTTTCCACATCCTTTGCTCTGTGTTCAGACCTGAGAAATTGGTTTAATATTACTTTGACATTTTTCGGATCTATGGGACCTATAACCTTGAACTTTAAGCTTTAGTCACCAGGAAGAAAGAATTTAAGAATTTAGTCACCAGAAAGAAAGGCTGACTTCAGTTTAACAGAGGCTGGAACGCATGTGCTTGTGGGAAATCCAAAAGTGGGAGTGACGCCTCTCAAGGGTACAGGAAACAGTCAGGACGAGAAACTGAGATTAAAGAACGATCTTCTCCGTGCTGGAAGAAATACCACTGGGATTTGTAGCTCCCATTTCAACTGTGTAAATAGCCAACACTGACAACTTGCTGTGAAGCTCTTTGCATCCGTTGTCCTTCAACCCCTTCCCTGGGGGGTGCTGTTCTTGTTCCAGCGTGCAGGGAACAGGGAGGTGGCCCTGCCCAAGGTCACAGCCGGGTGTGGCAGAGCTGGAGCTAAAGGAGAACCCCAAGTCTGCGGGGCTCTGGCCTCTGAGCTCCTGACCACTATACTTTATAGTTTGGGGGGAGGGTAGAGGGGAATAGAAACAGAACTTTATTTTCTGCTATTCAAGGAACTTAGGTTCTTTTTTGCAAAAAAAGTATTGTCCTTACCTTGAATTTCAGCCTGGGATGAAATGTTCAAAACTGCACTTAAAGTGTCTTCTCCTTTATTCAGGCGCATGGACTTGGTTTCCACTTGTCCTGCTCTTGGACAAAGGCTTATTGGTTGCCTTCACTAGCAATTTCATCTCGTGACAAGGCAGCCTTTGGGAGATTGGCCTTGGCTGCTCCTTAGCAACTGCCTCGGAGTTCTGGTGACCCCAACCATCCTTGTAGGGCTGGGCAGGCAATGGCGATAAAGGCCCCGGTGTGTGCGAGGGAGCAGGTGTGCTTGTCTCTAACGCTGGTGCCGTTTTCCTCTGTTTTAGCACTGGCAGATCCCCCTGAGCCGGCGGTTTCGCTCTATTAAGCTCTGGTTTGTGATTCGGTCCTTCGGGGTGAAGAATCTTCAAGCGCATGTCAGACATGTATGTACTATTAGTTCATGTGCAAACTGTGGGCTGAGCCTGGGCTTGCTCTGTGTCCTAGTGCAGAGGAAGGAGAGTTTCTGCTTTGCAGGCCCACCCAGGGAATCTGTGTTGTGTGACTCAGGTGGCCGGGACTGTTTGTGGGCTCCTGGGAGTTGATTATTCAGGGTGGCCAACTCTTTGTTAGCCAGAGGAACACTGAGCAGAAGATGGCACAAAACAGCTGGAGAACATTTAGCAGGTGCCTTTCCCTGAGAGAGCCTCAGGACTTGAAAATGGAGTTCTTGGGCCATGGTTGGAGCCTTTTAAAGGGACCATGCAGTGGAGAGAGAGAGGTTCTAGATGAGGTTTGGAGCAGGTTGCTTCATCGCAGGCAAAGACATGATTAACTAAACCCCTCACCTTCTTTTGAAATAGAGTAGCAGGATGAGGACCAGGTGATAGCAATTACTTAGCAAATATTTTATTGAGATCCTTTTGGATGCTTGGAGAAATTTTAAGAAGTGAAAGAAAAGAAAATCCTGTTCTTGTTTAGTTAACATTCCTAGGTAAAAATAACATAAAAAATGACTAAGTTTTAGTGAAAGATGAATATGATACAAAGCTTAAATTTTTTTATTGTGGTAACATACACGTAACAAAATCTACAATTTTAACCAATTTTGAGTTTATGGTTATAAGTGGCATTAAGTGAACTCTAACAACCTGTGCAGCCACCACTAACTACCATCAATTTCCAGAACTTTTTCCTCCTCCCACGCGGAAACTCTATCCATTAAACAGGTGCAAATCCTTTCCATGGTGCACGTGGAGATGATATGTGTCAAATATGTTCTTGGCGGAATCTCAGAAAAAGGGGATGCAAGGACATGTGGGGGAAAAGGTGTGAGAGGTGTGGGAAGAGGTAGGCGTAGGAGGGGGCAGAGCTCTCGACAGCCCACGTCGTGTCTTCACGTCGTGTCTTCACGTCCAGCAGAGACAAACTGCAACCCTTACGAGGCTGCTGGCGGGCACACGGAGCAGGGGCTGGATCTAGCCCTCACTTGCCCCCTTGGTTGGTCAAGAAGCTGTGAAGTCAGGATATGAGGCCAGGTTGCCTCGATGGCAAAATACCTGCCTTCTGGTTCTAGGGCTGTGTTGAGAGGGAATCCTGAGACACGAGTTCTCCAGGTAGAGCTGAAGTGACAAGAAGTAGGGAGCCACTGGAGGTTTCCCAGCTTAGAATATGATCAAAACCGAACAGAGAGGAAAGTTTGGCAGAAGCCATTCAGACCTCAGTGTTCCAAGGTGTCCTGGCTTCAACCCTTTCAGCAGTGTGAAAGTTTATGCACAGCACCCCTTGCCTGACTATCTTTTCTGTCTCTCTGTTTACAATTCCAGGGGACTGAAATGGCTAAATACTTTGAATCTCTGGTCCGAAATGACCCTTTCTTTGAAATTCCTGCCAAGAGGCACCTTGGCCTGGTGGTTTTTCGTCTAAAGGTAATGTCATCTTCTATGGCTGTGAATGATGTTATTGGGTGACCACTTAGCATCTTGGAAACATAAATGCTCAGCTTCTGGGGATGCTTACAGAGGAGATGGTACAGACTTCACTTCTCTTTATCTTTCAAACAGGGTCCTAACTGTCTCACGGAAAGTGTGTTAAAGGAAATAGCTAAAGCTGGCCGTCTCTTCCTCATCCCGGCCACTATCCAGGACAAGCTGATCATCCGCTTCACTGTGACTTCCCAGTTCACCACCAGGGATGATATCCTGAGAGACTGGAATCTCATTCAAGATGCTGCCACTCTCATCCTGAGTCAGCATTGTACTTCCCAACCTGTCCCTCAGGTCAGGAACCTCTTCCCCCAAACCAGGGGCCCCCGAGCCCTGACCAGCGGCAGGTCCCTTCAGGCTGTCAGTGGGGCAGAAGATGACCTAGCCCAGGCTAGAAGGGTCATCAAGCAGCCTCAGCATGTGGGAGCCAGTCCTGGGAGAAGGGAAGATGGCCGTCACCTCGAAACTCTGCTGGACCCCCTGGATGACTGCTTTACAGAAGAGGCCCCAGATGTCACCAAGCACAAGCTGTCGTCCTTCCTGTTCAGTTATCTGTCTGTGCAGAATAAGAGGAAGGCAGTGCGTTCCCTCAGTTGCAGCAGCGTGCCTGTGAGTGCTCAGAAGCCACTGCCCGCAGATGGCTCTCTGAAGAATGGGGGCTCCTCCAGGGTTAAAATCTTCTCTAGGTTTCCAGAAGAGATGATGATGCTGAAGAAAAGTGCCTTCAAAAAACTAATCAAGTTCTACAGCGTCCCCAGCTTTCCTGAGTGCAGCTCTCAGTGTGGGCTCCAGCTGCCTTGCTGTCCTCTGCAGGCGATGGTTTAGGCCAGGGGTTTCAGCCAGAGTTCATGGGTGTGTTTCAGGGAGTCTCTGAGCCCCTCAGAATCGTATGCTGAATCTGTGTGCTTATGTGTGTGTGTGCATTTTTCTTGGGTGACAGCCCATAATTTTTATCAGATGCTCAGAGGGGTTTATGACCCACCAAAGGATACAAGTGAAGAGTTTAAGCCAGCATGGTCCAGAAGGCCCTAGCCATCTGGTCAGAGAAAAACAGTTCAGGGGGATATATTGGCAGGTGGCTTCTGTGGTTCAGCTTGTGATATGAAATGCCATGTAGAAATAAATTGTGCTTGTCCGTGAAAAAAGCATATCCTGTGTGACTTAATTGACCACTGAAATATTGATTGATTATCCAGAGCATATCCTGGAGCTTAAATGCATGTACTTATGGGTCTTGCTTTTTAGGATACTGAAGATTTGAATTTGACTGTGAAACAGTGAGTTTGGCCGTGGCCGGTGTGGCTCAGTTGGTTGGAGCACCCTCCTGTACACTGAAAGTTCGTGGTTTCAATGGCCAGTCAGGGCACCTATCCAGGTTATGAGTTCAGTCCCCAGTTGGGGTGTATGCAGGAGGCAGCCAATTGGTGTTTCTCTTTTATGTCAATATTTCTCTCTCTCTTTCTCTCTCTCTCTTCCCCTCTCTAGAAACCAGTTAACTTGTCCTCAAGTGAGGATTAGGAAAAAAAAAATGCAAGTTTGGAGGAGTCCTTGGTGTGAAGGCAGAGAGCTTGGGCCAGGCACTCCTGCTTACAGTGTATAAATGAGGAAACTGAGGCTCTGGGTCCAAAAACCAAATCCAGGTCTTCTCGCCTGCTGTGAAGTCTGCACTACTTCCAATGTCCTATAGTGGTCAAGGCTGTGCTTGAGCAGAAGCTCTCAGTCTAGCAGGCCCCTCTGGTCCTTTCATACATTTACATTTTTTCTCTCTGGGGATTTTCCCATTTTTTTGGACCCTGTAGTCAAATAAAAGCTGTGCTCACTGGCAGCTTGCCCATAGTTACTTAGTTCATAGGCCAAAAAAATTATTTTCTTCCCATTTCAGATGGCACTTTTATAGGGACTGGCTCTGAAATGGATTAATTACAATGTCATAGGTAAACAAAGCTGGACACCAAAGTGATAAAAATGGATTTTAATCAGTAATTTTATTCAGTAATAATTACTATTGCAATAGGGAACGAGTCTAGCATAAACTGGACTTGAATTTGATTTGTGTAAAGGTCACGGGACATTATAAAGGGAGAAAGAAGGAGTAGGCAGGGGCCAGTGAGGACTCAGGAGAATCAGAGAAGTGAAAAATTGCAAAAAGCAAGAAGAGGGAAGAGAGGGTCAGTCCGTGTGAGACCCATCTGGGTTTGCTCCCTGGTGCTTGTTGAAGTCAGGCTCCTACCCTCTCGCACAGGCTGGGAAACAGGGGCCCATCTTCAGGTACTAGACAGAGAAAATAGTGAATTCTTTTGGCATCCTTAAATTTTTGCAGGCAGATACTTTAAGGGGGCTCAGGTCATCCTAGGAGTGTGGCATTGAGCTGTTAGAAACTATGTTAGTGTTTGTTCAAGTTTTTATAAGATGAGGGTGAGGCCAGGTCAACAAGAAGGGATGGCATTGAATTTGGTCAAGGAGTGAATCTTTGGCAAGAGCATAACGTTTCATGTTCATCTTTGTTCTCAGTCAGTGGTCCCTAAACTTTGCTGCATACTGGAATCACCTGGAAGTTTTTTAAAAAATATTGATTCCTGGCCCTGGCCAGTGTGGCTCAATTAATTGCAGTGTCATACTGTGAACCGAAAAGTCGTGGGTTTGATTCCCAGTCAGGGCACATGCCTAGATTGCAGGTTTGGTCCCCGGCTGAGGTGTGTGTGAAAGACAACTGATTGCAGTTTCTCTCTCAAATTAATGTTTCTCCCCGCCACCTCTGAAAATCAATAAGCGTGTCCTCAAGTGAGGATTAAAAATTTTTTTTAAATACCAAACTGATGCCTTGCTCTCACTCTTAGAAAAATCTCATCTAATTGGTATGGTATGGAGTGGACCTGGACTTTGGATTTTTGATAATTCCATTGTGCAGCAGTGTTTGGAAACCAGTGCCCCCAAATAATTCCAATGTGCATCAGTGTTTGGAAACCAGTGCCCCAGGGTCCCTTGCTACTCAAAGAGAGGTGTGTGGACCACAGGCACCGGCATCCCCAGGTACTGCTTCTGCACATTTAAAGTTTGAGAAGCCCTGCTGTAAGTTGGGGGTTCTCAAATTGAGCCTGCATCAAAATCATTGGGAGGGTTTGTTAAAACACAGGTTGCTGGGCCAATCCCCAGTGGTCCTGACTCAGTGGATCTGGGGCATGTAGCCTGATGATTTGCATGTTTAAGTTTCCAGGTGATGCTGCCGCTGGTCCTTTTGGTGTACAGGACAATGCTCCAACCAACTGAGCCACCTAGCTGGGGCCATTTGTACTTTTAAATTGTGCAGATATTCCTATGGGCACAATTTCTAACCCATTTAAAAGAGAAAAATCAGTCTTTAGAGTTGATGATTATCTGGAGCAGATAATGATTTAATTTTGTGTACACACATGTGAACTGAGGTATTGAGGATATGGTGCAGGTGCCTCTATCCTTCACAATACCTGGCCAGAATTACCAGGGCCTGGGGAAGTGGGAGGCTGGGAGGAGGGAGCCATGGGGCTGGGGAGGAGGGTTTCTAACTGGGAAGCCTAAAAATGTCAAAGGTGATGTGGTCCCAGCAGGCTCCGGTTGCTGGAGCACTATGTTCTGGCTAAAGCTGTAAATGCTGTGACCTTTCATCCGAAAAGATGCCGTTTGTGACAAAAATAATGATAACCTCTGCTTATACCTGGGTTCACTTTAGCAAGATTCCAAGTATAATAATACAACTATACAACATGTTATTGTCCAAAGCAAAGGTCATGCTGTTTCCCAACTCTTGGGTTCAGATTCTCACTGGGAGATCAATAAAGCAAAGGTAGAGATCCTGCGATTCTTTCAAAAATTCCCAAGCACTGACTCACAAGCAACGATTGGTCTAAGTTATTCACAAAGAGCCAGTGATACCCAGAATCTTCCTTGAGCCATCTGCAAGTCCCTGACGCATTTTACGTGCTCAGGAAGTGTTTATTGTTGGGCATAATGAGCAGGGCAGAGATTCTGGTCATGAGTCTTCTTAGGAGCCACCCAAGAGTGGAGAGAGTTTGAACAATATTTCTAGTACTGTGTTGGGGTGGGGGTGGCCACCTTTCTTGTCCCTAGAGGATCCCTAGATGTGTTTGCCTGTGCTCTTATGGGGACTAACTTGGGGGAGGGGGAATTGGGGCTCCTTGTCAGCTCCTGCTCATATGAAAATGTCCTTTAGGGAAGGAAACTCTACTGCCTTTAGGGAGACTGGGATGAACTTGGATTACACTTCTTGGATGTGGACTTAGTCCCCATGGCCTAGGACAAGCTCTAGTAAAGAACAAGTTGTCTTGATATGACTGATGTGGCTCAGTGAGTTGGACATCATCCTGAAAAACTAAAGGTCACTGATTCGATTCCCAGTCAGGGCACATGTCTACATTTCTTGCCAGTTTCCTAGTTGAGGGTGTGCAACAGACAACCAATTGAGTTTCTCTCACACATCAATGTTTCTCTCTCTCCCTTCCTCTCTCTCTAAAAATAAATAAAATAAAATCTTAAAAAAAAATCCCAGCAGTGCCTGACATGTATTCCCATGTGACAGCAATCAGCCAGCCGAGTAGTGGTTGTCCTCAAGTTTGCCACGTTCGTGACCTGCTCTCTCAAACACATTACCGATGTGAATCCTGAAGACACTCGAGTTTGCAACCCTTGATGTAACTACAAAATGTCTACTGAACACCTTTTATGTGTAAATACTGCTGCTACTGCTTAGTCTTCTTCAAGAACTGTAGGTGGCATTCTCACCTTTCGCATAACACTGTTTTAGCCAGTGGCCAGGATGCTATTCAGGGTGAGAGTTGGCCTTACACTGGAGCTGAATTTCTACTGGGGCTGTTCCTTGGTGACACCCCTGCTTCCTCTCCCAACCCCTTGCCATAAATTCCCTAGAGTGCTATTATCATTATGAGTGAGGCACCTGTGAAAAGTTGCCAATGAGACTGTCAGGCTCAGGGTTTGCATTTAGATTAAAGTAAGGGAAGAGAGTGCGTTTCATATGTTGGCATTCATCTATTTTATTACAGATTTTAAAAATAATGCTCTTCCTCTAACAAGCTTAGTTTGCAATTACAAACAGTAGGTGCACAATGAAAAAGAATTATCTCTAGATCTTTTCACTTGCAAAGTTGCAGGTGTAATTTAGAAAAGTGTCCCTTTATTGGTATGCATAAAAATGTACCTCACCATCTTCAATCAAATTATTGTTGGATTATATCAAGTGGCTGTACTAGATCCATTCAGTTTCTTTCTGGAAATAGGAGTTATCCTCTTGAGAAATTTCAGAGTTTCAGAGTTCCAGCACTTATGGCATTGTAAATATCCTCAGTCATAGGCACATACATTTTTGCTTTTTCATCTAAGAAATACAAGGCATCTTTGACAACTGCAGGGTTAAAGCCCTCCTTCATGAGGTTCATTTTGCGGTGTTTAAAAGTTACAGTGACCTCAATGGTGTCCTGAAAAAGATCAAACAATTCACATTGTTTAGTGTTGTGCAAACAGCTTAGGGTGCAGGGGGAGGGGTGGAGGTGGGACAGGGGGGCAGGCTCCTCTGAGTTTGCTACAATACAGGTGCACCCTGTTTTCTGGAGCTCCACTAGGGGGCCCTTTGTGGAGGCATTTTCCATTCCCTTAAAACTTGAAGATCAGCTTTAAGATTTGTTTTTTTCTTCAATTAATAGGTGATGATCTGAGGATGCTTCAATTTTCATGTCTCTCAACCATTTTATTGTAAAGCAAATGTCACTGCTTTACAAACAACAGACGTAATTTTATAGATGCAGCAATGTCTGGTAATCTAACACTTCTCAACTTTTTGGCATCATAGAGCTCCGAGTCCCAAAGTCAGTGTTAAACTAACTGAGGGGTTTGAGAAAGGGGAGAAAGAATCCCACCAGTGTTGATAGCTAAACCGGTGGTAGTTCCAGCTGCCCGATGATGCCCAATTAAATCGCACACCATAGAAAGGTGCAGGACTTCAGTGGATTCTTTTCATTCTTTAAAACTGAAAACAAATAGGAGGTTTGGAGCACTGCTAACTGTGTGTCGCATATGCTCAAATACAGACTTTGTGAGTTATTTGCTAATACTGCTCTTGAATGAACTGGCCTGCCAATTTTAGGGAGAAAGGGATTAGGATTTGGTTTCTGCTAGTTATGTTTTTCTGACATTTCTGCTTCCTTTTTGAGCTTCCTGGAAGGGGTAGTGAAAATCTGGCCAATGTGGTCACCGTGGTAGAAGGGGATCTGCTGCCTAAGAGACAGGGGTCTTCACGAGAGAGGATAACTGAATTTGATAACAAGAGGGCTCACCTGTATCCTTAGAAAGTAGGGCCTTGCGTAAGTGGGCAGGCAATCAGCAACATGCTTAAAGATTTTTTTCCCATCAAATTCATAATCTTCCTTCATCTTGATCGAGGCCATGCCAATTCGGCCCTCTTGACCTAGAAATAAAATGAAAAATATTAGCAAGTTGTAGCTATTTTATTTATAATGCTTTTCTGTTTCAAAGAACAGTGCACTGAGACAACATTATGGCATACATTTCTTTTGGATAGTTGGAATTTTTATTCAAATATATGTTAAAGTTATAGTGAAGTGAAAATACTACTTCCACTACCACTACTACTACCACTACTTCGACCACTACTACTACTACTACCACTACTACTAGCAGCTATATATTGATTAACTCTTTATTATACACCAGGTCTTATGGACTATCTCATTTAACCCACACAACACAACTATGAAGAGGTTCAAATGTTATCACTATTTACAGATGAAGAAGCAGAGGCTTAAAGACATTAAGAGACTTGTTCAAGTTCACCCGGCAAATAGCAGGCAGGGTCAAAAACTCAGCTGAGGCAGTGTGGTTCTAGACCCCATGCTGGTGATCGTCGTCCTTCTCGGCAGCCTAGATGGAAACAGTTGAGTGGGGAAAGGGTCGAACGGTGGCTAAGGGAATTTTGTTTCGATGCCAGCGAAAAGTCCTTGCTCCACTCATGAATAACTGAGGTCAGATGTCCTTTAGATTGCAGAGTCAACTCTCTGGTACTTCTGGGCACAAACACCACCTTTGAGACTTAGGTATTTAATTGTTTCCTAATAGCTTTGCCTTTCTACATTTTAGAGAAGTCGTGAACAGGAGGTGTAGGCAAGGTGCAAGGGTAAACTGTTTCATGCCCTTCCACTGATGCCAGAGGTTGAGATGTCCACAGAGAAGACAGACCCTAACAGCTCTCTCTCCCCACCCAGGCAGGGCAGTAAGCAGAGAGGTGTTTAGAACAATTACATTGTTTTTCTTGTGAGGACAGTGGTAATTAGGCAGTAATCTATCTTCTACCCCATCCAGCAGACCTAGTGGGAGCCCAGGTCCATTCCCCTGAACTACTTAGCTGTAATCAGAGAGGAGGAAGGAGCCGCCCTTCGTCACCTGGGCCCCAGCTTTCAAAATCTCTCCCATGGTGATTGTGTGTTTACCTACAGCTCTGAAGGAGGCAGAATACAAGAGGAAAAATGAAAAGAAACACACCCTCATTTTATTTGCCTCTTATCTGAGGGAGGCAGGGCACTGGACCCGTCTCTCGCTAGGGGTCCCTGGTAGCTCTCTAGAAGGCACCTCTCTCAGGAATCTCAAGTGTCTCTAATAATTTCCTTTTAGAATTTAGATAGAAGCTGATGCAACAGAAATCTTCAGCATTGACTGGCACCCTGCTTCTTGCTCTGGCATTCACTGAGAAGTGAACGAGCCTGTTGGGTTTCAGGCCTCTGCCCTGACGCATGGACGTTGGTTTTGGGCTAGTTCAGCTTCAGGAGGAAGGTTCCAGGCTGCAGCAGTTCTAGGCCGGGCTTCTTTAGAACTGCACTGTCCAATATGGTAGACACTGGTCACACGTGGCTATTAAAATTAATTGTAATTGAAGTGGAAAATTCAGTTTCTCAGCTGCATTAGCCACATTTCAGTTGCAGAAAGTTCTATTGATAAACATTCTAGAGAGTAGCTGGACAGTTCTGACACCTAGAACAAGTTAACTCCATTCTAAGCCCCAACCTACAAGTTCCCTCCTGGTCCAAAATGGAGATCCGTGAAGGCCCTGTGAAATGCACAGAATCAGAAGGTTGGGAGAGACTTCAGTCTCTGACCTCTAGGTTCCTCTCTAATTTTTCACGGCTGTAAGAGTTCTCACAGGATTCCAGGTGGACAACCTGCCTCTTTACTCACTCCAGCTGGTGGGACATTCCCTACCTCAGGAGACAGTCCATTCCATTGTTGGTTCCTCTGGTTACAGGAGAGTTCTCAGGCTAAAATCTGCTCCTTGGTCATTTCGGCCCATTGGTTTTCTTTTAAAATATTTATTTATTCATTTATTTTTAAAAAGATTTTATTTATTTATTTTTAGAGAGGGAAGGGAGGGAGAAAGAGAGAGAGAAACATCAATGTGCGGTTGCTGGGGGTCATGGCCTGCAACCCAGGCATGTGCCCTGACTGGGAATCGAACCTGCAACACTTTGGTTCGCAGCCCATGTTCAATCCACTGAGCTATGCCAGCCAGGGCTAAAATATTTATTTTGTAAATATTTTTTGGAATTTATTTTTAGAGAAGGGAAGGGAGGGAGAAAGAGAGGGAAACATCAATGTGTGGTTGCCTCTTGTGTGCCCCTTACTGGGGATGTGGCCTGCAACCTAGGCATATGCCCTGACTGGGAATTGAACCATGAACTCTTTGGTTCACAGGCCGGCACTCAATCCACTGAGCCATACCAGCCAGGGCTTGGCCCATTGGTTTTCATTCTGCACATTGGAGCAACGTGGACACACTGGCTCCCTATTTAAATTGACTGCTTCCACTGATTTGGAAACCATCAGCTTCCTCTTCTTTGGCCTGCTCCCAAACCTTACTGGTCATTAGACTCACTTGGGACTTTAGAATAAACACGAAGATTCTGAGTCCCAAACCCCAGACGTTCTGATCCATTAGATATAGGCTTTAAAATTTTCTCAGATGATTCTAAGGATTGCCCAGGTTTTTGGAACCAGTAGGCCTCAGTGCTTCTCAAGACTTTAGCGTTTTTTAATTGAGGTGAAACATACAATTAATTCATCATTTTAATCATTTTAAAGTGTATAATTAGGTGGCAGTTAGTGCATTCACAATGTTGTTCAACTATCACCAGTATCTAGCTCCAGAACGCTTTCATTGCCCCCAAATCAGACTTCAGTGTTTTCAAGAATCATGTAAAGGCCTGGTTAAAACACAGCTCCCTGGGACCCACCCCAGAAAGTCAGTATCAGTAGGTCTGGGGAGGGCCTGAGAAATCACATTTTTGACGTGCTCCCAGCTGAGGATGAGGATGCTGCTGGTTCAGGGATCCATTTTGAAGGGCATTGGGTTAGCACCTTCCATTCTGTTTCCCAGATTCTCTCACCTTCTCCTACACATTCTTTTATGGTGTTACCCTTTTAAGACACAGCATCTAACAGTGTGAGTAACATTCCAGGTGGGGCCTGTGAGAGCCCAGTGTGGGGCACGGCCGACAATCGTGCTCAAGTCAACTCAGCCTCAGGTCCAACACGAGAAGTATGTGCAACCCTCACTGCTGTGACCTGAGATGTGGCTCCACTTCCCATTGTGTAAATCCCACAAGGTTGGAGAGAAGCATGTAAAAGAAAGTCTTGAATGTTCTTTAAAAAATAAAAGGACAGCACAAGGTCATATGAAACCCTCACAGCTCAGCGAAAAGGGACTTTGAGACTTTCCATGTTGAATAGAGGTGGAAATCCCAAATATTGAGTTCTGGGGGAATGCTAATACCCCTAGCATCTTGTATTTGGACAGTGATTTGGAGGTTTCAGTCCTTCCTGATAACTATAATTAAAGTGATTTCGTCTTATGACAATGTCCTATCCGTACGTATCTGGTAAATATGTTTTTACTATTTATGTAATTGAAATGAATGATTGCTCTTGACAATCTTAGCTACAGGACCAGTATTACCCCCAGTTTCAGTGATGTGCCCGAAGTCAAACAGCCACAGGTGCTGGAACCAGGAGCCAGAACCACACCTGGGCACTGCTCGCCATGCTGGCAGAAGCAGGTCTGCAGAAGAAGGCTCAGCGACACCACTCTGTCCTGGTTCTGAAACTCAGTCGGGTGCACTGGGTGAGAGACCGGCTTTAAAAGAAGAGTCTGGACAAAATCAGCTCCTTCCCAATTTTTCCTCTTAGCAACCGCACTCGCTCTTATTTGTGTCTTGCGTGCCATTTCCCAGCTATCCAGTGTGACATGTCTTTTTTTGAGGAGTGCCAAATGCAGCACGAGGCCTTGCGCCCTGGAGAGATTTGGCTTCCCTGAGAGCTTCCTCCCGCCACCCCCCCCCCGCCCCGCCCCCACCGTGGAGCTGAACCACAGAGGGAGGCCGTGTTCAGAGGTATTGACTTTTGACTTGGTTGATTTACAAAAGAACATAAACAGATGTTGGCCCCTCCTTCCCAAGTGGCTAGAAGCATTGTTTGATTTTCCAGCTGACAGGAGGAGGCACTGACATCCTTTGCCCTGGGGTTAGAATTGTAGTGCGTCACAGCATGGACTTAGGTGCAGCTCTGTGGTATTGTATGCATACCTGGCACAGTCACTCCGTACACATTCACTTCTTGGATAAAGTCAACCAGTCCTAGTATGTCAGCGACTTCAGTGGTGGCCACATTTTCCCCTTTCCACCTGGGAGAAAAGGCAAGGTTAGCAGAGGTCCCTGGGGGTCCCTGGGCCAGCACTGCCATGGTGGGGAGAGGGTGGCTCCCTTCCCGGGGAGGGGCCTCTGTGGGGAGGCTGCGCTTTGTATCCCACTATCCCACGTGGGCCCCCCAGCTCCCCAACTTCGTCATGGGCGAGGCATCCTGCTTGGGGAACAAAAGACAAAGGCATAGACCTAAATAATAAAATGTGAAATTTCAGTCCAGCCACATGACACACGAGACACAGAATGATGTTAAAATACAGACTTGACCTAAGAAAGGCACCGGAAATAAAAAATAAACCCTCAGTGGCATTTTGCTATATTTAGGATTTTCACGTCCTTCACTGACTTTGATTGCTATTTAACTCCATTAGTGAACTTTCACTTAATAAAATGTCATACTTGTATTTCAGGGTCTCTTGGCCATGAGAAAGCTTTTAATAAGAAAAACTATACTTTATTTACAGGGAGACTATAATGTTAGTGCCCATGCATGTGCTATTTTTCATTTCATAAAGTTATGTTTTACATTTAAAAATTGTTTAGATCTCTCAGAAGTATATTTTCAATAACATGAAGGTGGCATAAAGTAAGAATATGGATCCTGAGTCACAGAATATCACATGGAAGGAACCCTGAGGATCTCGGAAACCCTCATTCACAGGTGAAGAAATTGAGGCCAAGAAAGGTTACCTGCTGTGCTAATGCAGATGATCAGGGGCAGAGGTGAGCCTGGGAGCTGTTAACCTCATTCATATCCCCACATGTGCTCCTACAGCCAGAAAACTTCCCCCTCTTCCTCATTAATTCATGCAGGAAGTAATTATGTGTGTCAGGCTCTGTGCTAGGAGCTGGGGCCTGGCCTCAGGGAGTTCACGAAGGAAGGAAGATGATGAAAGAGAAGTGTTTTGAGGCTGGAGGACTGTTCTGCTACTGGGAATTAGCCTCATGGTTTATTACCATGACTTTCAAACAGTTGTGCTGACTTGTATGTTCTTTGGGAAACCACCTGGTTGGGGATGGAGAGTAGGAAGGAGGGAACAGGTGGGGCTCAGAATCCTCCACCTCCTCTTCAACTAAATCAGCTCCACCTTAATTCACATTTGATTTGTATCTGAAGAATAGCCTCATACTTGAAAACTGTGAAAATCCCTGGCTCTCCTAAGAGTGGCCAGTAATAATGGAGGAATTGGGCAGATGAAACTATTTAGGCTTATTTTAATCTGTGCATTTTAGAGTGACCCCTCCTGTATTTTGTTCCTTTTTTTCTAGGAATACAGGAGGTTGAATTGACACGCTAAGAGAGAAGGACCATAACCAAAGTGGAATGCGATTCCAATTTAGGAGTAAGCCAAATTGTGCATGTTTCTCAGTGATTCAGAGAAACCAACCGGAATGTATCTCCAACCCTGTCATGGAAGTAGATGAAGTTTTCATTGTCAGCCATCAGGAGATCTCCACTGTTGAAATAGATGTCTCCTTTCTTAAAGACGTCTCTCATTTTTTTCTTCTCCGTCTGAGTCTTTGCTCCAGCATAGCCAACAAATGGTGTAAATTCTGATATTCTACAAATCAGGAGTCCAACTTCACCTAAGATAGAAGAACAATTGCTATTTCATGTCTAGCAGTAGGAGAATTTTATTATTAGCCTTCTTTTAGAAGTTGATGCCATGCACCTCATTCGCAGCAGCTGGCTGCACGTGTAAATGTATATTCATATACATCATACACATGCACATCGTATGCACACATGGGACATTATTCTATGTGGCCACATGTTTGTAGTTTTTAACATGCTAGCTTTGTACTGAATAATGATTTAAACACATAATTATACAAATGAACAGTAGTTTAAGCTTAAAGGTAAAGACTCCTTAAAACTACAGTTTTGCAACAGAATTACACATCCCTTCCTACAAAATCCTTACCTCACAATCAAGAAGTTGTTAAGCTAGGTTTCAAACTCTAATTATGTTATGTGTAGTGGTTAAATTAGTATCTTTTGGAGTTTCTGTAACTATTTCTGAGAGTACAATAATAAATCTCTTCTTTTCCCCACTCTGACAAATTTTACCAGGTGTTCATTTTGGCAGTGATAGGTTAGTTCTTAACAGTTACTTGCTCAAGGTAAGAACATGACAGGTAAATTGAACAAAAATCCACTGTACCTTTGGGAACTTTTATGCAGTATCCATTTTCATCTCGGACAGGTTCATCTTTCTCCACATCATATTTAATTAGCTCATAACACATAATTTTCTAGGAAATTTAAAATAGATAATTTTGAGCACATATTTTCATATTTTTCTTTTTAATTGAGGTATAGCATGCATAAAATATATACAGAACACTTAAGTGTACAGCTTGGTGAACTTTACATATGTGTACATCTATGTAATTACCACCCAGCTCAAGATATTAAATATTTTTATTACCCAATTTTGCCCTGCTAAGGAGTCAGCAGCCTGGGCCAAAGTGTAGAGGTCTGGGCAGATTCAAGTGGTATTAGTTACTGACTTGTGTGGCTTAGGGGTGGAGGCCATTCCACCCACTTTACTGCAATGCCGACTGGTTCCTTCTTCTCACTGTGGATTTGCTAGCCTCACTCTCCAAGCTCCTGGTAGCCCCACCCTCTGGTCCCTTGGTGGATCCACCCTGCTGAGGCTGGGCAGTAGCTGGGACAGTCTGAGTTGTGCGGCTCTGGGGTTGGGATGGGGGCCAACCCCATCCCAAACTCGACTGGCATCTCCCCCTCTTCTTGACTCCCAACAGCCCCTCCCTGCTGAGATCAGGCTCCTGGCAGAATGTAGGAAAGACTGAGTTGCATGGCTCTAGGACAGGGGAAATTTTTCCCTTACATGCCTGAATGGTACAGATCCTTCCCTTCACTGGTTGGTCTGTTTAGGCCTGATAAACTGCTGGCCCCACCCTGCTGACTCTTCTGATTGTTACAGGGTGCAGCCAAGAGGGGGGACCCCAAATGGGCATTTGAAATGGGGTCCAGAACTTAAGGTGTCCAGGAGATTTTAAGATGTCTCCATCCCCCCCACCCAGGGTGTGGGTTGGGGGAAGGGACAAATGGAGCAAGGCCATTGAGATCTGTTTTGCATAGCAACAGCCTTGCAGCTACCCTCTGGCGTGGTCATTTAACATCTATAGCTTTTGGCTGGTCGCTTAGATATGTTAAATAGCTGTGATCATCTCTGAGCCAGGGGAAGGGAAGTAACTTCCCCACCAACATGTGACTGGGGCAGATCCCCCAAGCTACAGCGCCTGCGTGGGAGCTCGGAGAAGATTGGCTCCAGGACATGGGGCCACGCCTGTCCAGACTCAAGATGGCAGCCCAGTAAAGCTGGAAGGATATGAATTCTGGCAAGTGAAGCCGAGTGTGGGAGGAGTCGGAAGTGAGGCTGCAGAGGAAGATTGGCCGCGGGGATTTAAAACCCAGACTTGGCGGCCATTAGGAAGAGAGAACCACACGGCTTTGGCAGAGTGAGGACTCTCCCCTTCCCACAGCCCTGAGAAGGAGAGCCACGAGGCCTGGACGGAGTGGGGACCCCCGCAGCTTTAGAAGGGGAACCACCACCTGGTTTTAGCAGAGATCCCAGTGACTCAGCGGAGGGTGCCGGGAACCCAGGGAGGTCTCCCAGTCGAGAAGGAGGACTAAGAACCAGAGGACTGCCTGAGCCATGGACTTCGTTTTCCTTCCCTGAAATACGGTACTCTGGACTGGGCAAAGGGGGAAGGAAGGAAGGACTGTGTCTGTTTGTGGGTGTTTTAAGTGACTTTGGGATTTTTGATAAAGACATTAGGTCACTACTTTAAGTTTGTATAGCATTAAATAAACATTTCCTTTCCTTTTCACGAATCTCTGGCATTGAGAGACGTCTTTCCTCTGGCGGCGGACATGACGGACCCGGGGCCTTCTTTCAATAATAGTATATTGTCCCAGGCCCCCCTTGTTCTGTTCTGTAACAGTTTTTGGCGACCACGAAGGGACCATAATTGTCCGTGGCAGACCGACCCCCTCAGGTGCGAGAGAGTGAGACCTCAGAGTTTCCCCGTCTCGAGAATTACTCTGCACTCCTCCTGAGGGCATCGGCCGCCTATCACGCCTGGAAAGGTGAAAAGGAAACGAAACGGGGAGGGAGCAGAGACGTGAAAATGGTTTGGTTGAAAACTGGTTTCTGAACACCGTTTTGGAACAATGGAGCTGTGGATAATAGTTTGGTTAGCGTGCTGCTCCCAGGTTGCCCCTGTCTGCTCACTTACAGTTTTGGTGAGCCCAGGTGGCAGTAAGGGAACCTGTACTCAGGTTTGGGGAGGAAGCAAACCCCTAGGCTCTGTAAGCCGAGCCTGTATGTATAGTGGGGATCGGACAGCCAACCATGTGGGTGTATTGCCATTTTGGGTAAAATGGAGGATGAGCCACGTGAGTGGAGGGTGGGTCGTGCATGGGCACCACCATGGAGGGTGGGTCGTGCATGGGCGCCGCCATCTTGGATGACCCGGCATGCATGGGCGCCGCCATCTTGGAACTGGACAAGGTGGTGGGCCAAGGGCTCTCTTCAGAGTATGGGCTGTGTCCTGCTGCTGTGTTGGCATTGCATCAGTCAGGTTCTCTGTGTAACTGGTTCTGATTGGAATGGCTCTGGTTCTGAAGGTCATGAACTGAGGTCCAAAGGTGACCATCTGATATATAGGATGTTTGCAAGGTCTAAGCTTCAGAAAGCTGCAGGATGTCCCTGCGAATCCAAGAACTTTTAGTGGAAGGTACCTGTAGTGTTAGGGACTTTTAGCTGCCACATGCTGAGTTTAAGTACTGAGTTTAAGTATAGTCCTTCCCAGTGTGGGAAAGGAACCAGGATTAAAAGAAAATGATGGTTAAATCTGGATGTGAAAATTATGTGTAAAAGATGTGAAAGTTTTAAACCTGGAGTAAGGGAAACCTGAACTACCTGTTGCCAGTTTCATAGGAAAAGAGCAAATTTCTCACATTGGTTTTGTTTCTGGATCAGAAACCTGTACTTGAAGACCTAGGAAAGGTCGTCTGTAACCGGTTGGGGAGCATGCCTTTGCCATGCGGGACCCAGGAAGGGTCATTTGGGGCTGACGAGTGCTTCAGCCAGAGGCAAAGGGGGCATGACTCTGCCATGAGACCGGATCGGAAGAGAGCAAGTCTCTGCCGTTGGTGTTGTTTCTGATCAGAAACCTGTACTTGAAGACCTAGGAAAGGTCACATGTAACCGGTCGGGGAGCATGCCTTTGCCATGCGGGACCCAGGAAGGGTCATTTGGGGCTGACGAGTGTTTCAGCCAGAGGCAAAGGGGGCATGTCTCTGCCATGAGACCGGATTGGAAGAGAGCAAGTCTTTGCCATTGGTGTTGTTTTTGATCAGAAACCTGTACTTTGAGACCTAGGAAAGGTCGCTGTGACCGGTTGGAGAGAATGCCTTTGCCACGCGGGACCCAGGAAGGGTCATTTGGGGCTGACAAGTGCTTCAGCCAGAGGCAAAGGGGGCATGTCTCTGCCAAGAGACCGGACCTGAAGGAGCATGTCTCTGTGAGGCACCAATGTACGCATTGGTGCAAGAGAATGCTTCTACCTGTGTATTATTCTGGAACTCTGTGTTTTGGATTTTGCTCTGTATCTGCTCTGAAAAGGAAATTGAGGATTCCAGGGAAGGTTGAAACTTCACACTCTGTAGGAGAGTTTTGAGAAGCCTGGTGGATATCAGAAGGAAAAAGATTTTCCTTCACGCTTTGTATTTTTCTCCCTACCTGATCCCTCCAGCATTTGGCATTCTGAAGGAGTGATAATATAAGGTTTCTTTGCATAAAACCAATAAGACCGGTCATTAATAGTGGTTTTGTTAACCAAGACTTTGACTGGAATGTCACGCCTGAAGAAGGCATGTATGGGTTCTGGTCATCACCAGAAAGCCCTGAGGAACTGGGATTGACTTGTGAAGCTAGCGTAAGCCCACGAAAAAGCCTGGTACTTTAGTTGGTTGTGTGGTTCATGGCAGTCTTTCCAGGGAAGGAACGAAGGTTGCTTTCATGAAAGATGGCCAAAAAGGAACCTGTAAGCACAATGGAAGCCTCAAGGATTTGAGTGAAACACCTGGTACAGGCAAAGCCAGATGGCAGATGTGTGGCTCTGCTTCTGTGCCCCAAGAGGGGTGGACTGAGAAGTCAATCTAAAGACTCCCTGTGTGAGTTCCAGCAAGGTAGACTCAAGGATCATAAGTGATCCAGGCTGCTCTTGGTGAGTTTATGCAAACGAACAGTCAAAATTAAAAGTGGGACTCAAAGTAGTCCTTTAATAACAGTGAGGGTGATCTTAAGGAGAAAAAATTGTGGTTCAAGGAAAATCACAATGCTTAGTATTGGACATCAGAATGGTGCAGCTAACTGTCTTGAAAGTTTGTTTTCATTTGAAAGTTGAAACTGAGTTTGTAATATCACCAAAGATGTACAATTTACAGGTACGGAGGACCTTTGAAGTTGCCATTGCTAAATGTTATTACAGGAAAAACCTTGCAATTGAATGTCTTCCCAAAAGACAGTCTCACAGGCACAGAAACTGGTTTGGGGATTGTTGTGTGAATTAACCTGTGTGTTCTTCTGTTTTCATAGGGCATATGCCTATGACTTCATTACCTGAGTAATTGGTTGAATGAGTGAGTGAATATAAACCTCGCTTTAAGGGGCCCATTTTCATCATCACCCTCTGAGACTCAACGGTTTGGCTGAACTGAGTGGTTGGGTTGGTGAATGGTTTGGGCGGTCTGTGGGCTTCACTTTAGAACTAATTTTGCCTTTTTCTGTCTTGATGGCTTGGACAGAAAGGGCCCAGGTATCTGAAAGGAGGGAAATCCTAACATATTCCCCTCAGCCCAAGTGAAGTATAGTGGGCCACAAGTTTCAGATAGGTGTAGCATGCCTTGTACACCTTCCTCCTGATAAGCCATTCCTTACTTAAGTCCCTGCCTTTGTCATTTAGTGGTTATGATTTAATTGTGCCTTCCAATTCTTTCCAAATCTGTCACCTCCAGAATATGACCAGGATGCCAATGGTCCGGTAATGCCAGCCTTTGGACACCGAACCTGCGACTTCCTGGTGACAGCCAACTGACCAGGATTATGTAAGGTCCTTCCCCTTACAGGAAGGACTCCCTCCGTGCTGCACACCCCCCCTTTCAGGGCACCCCTGACCCATGGGTGGGTAAAACAACGTCCATTTCCAGCCAGAAGCAG